CAGGAAAAGTCCAAGAATCCAGTGGTTGTTCAGTCCACGTGGCAGTACGTTTCAGCTGGTCTGCAGTGTGCTTTGGAACCATGAAGGGGTGGATTCCAATGCCAGTGAAGAGAGAACCAAGGGCAAGTAGGCAAAGACCAAAGATTCCTTCCATCCTTGTCCTCTATACAGGTTGCTATGAGGAGGTGTGGCCCAGATTTAATGTGGGGTTTCCTACCTCGAATGATCCACTTAACTAAAAATCCCCCACATGTGTGCCTAGTGAACTGAGTTTTTAGTTAATTCCAGATTAATTCCAGATACAGTTGACAACCAAGAATAGCTATCACAGGGTCACACCTCAAAGACAAGTTGTTTTCCTGCTGAAGGAGTCCCTCAGCTCTGTGGGTCACAGCAACTTCTCAGCCAGTCTTTATCTCTCCTCCATCATGCCCAACTAGTCTTTGGGATATATATACTGAGACTCGTTGGGCATGGTGAACATATAGATCCATATATACAAGTTTCCCTCACAATACTTCTTTTGTTTATAAGTTTTGGTTGTTATGTGCCCGTTCCTATTTGCTTTAATAATTTTTTAAAATTATTTAAATTAAATTATTTAAATTATACATGTGAGGCCTCCATGTATCTATGCTTCCCGAGGTTTCCTTTATCGACTGCCAGTTACATTTCACTGTGGTCAGAAAAGACAACTATTATTATCTCATTACAGTTTATTGCTTTTTTTTTCTACCCCATAATGTAAGAAATACTCTGGAAAGTGTTTCATGCACTGATGGAAAGTTTATTCTGCAGCTGTCAACAGCTCTGCAGACACTGTTCAGTTCCTTCCGGCCTATGGTGTAGCTAACTGCGAGGTTTCTTTGCCACTTTTTCTTTTAGGTTTGATGGGATGTGGCCACTAAAATAGGGGGTTGAAGTCTCCCATTATTATGCATGAGATCTGCTCTCTCTTTACATATCTAATAATGTTTGCTTTGCATCCTTGCATGATGGGAACACCATCTGAAGTTGTCATAGCTCATCACTGAAGCCCTGGCGTGCTGCACGCTAATCCTCCTTGTCCCCTGAAGTTCCGTCTTTAGGTCTAGTGTGTATAAATGTGAGCAGCTGTGGTTGCTTTCGGGGCTCATTTGTGTAGACTCTCTTTGCCAACCTTTTCACTTCTAGGCTGTATCTCTTTACGCACGAAGTGAGTTTCCCGCGGGAAACATTTTTCACCCTCTGTTGACCATTTACATTCAAGGTTAGCAATGACATAAAAAAAAAAATCACTCCTGTCATTTTGTGGATTTTAAATTTTAAAACTCTCAAACTCTCTCTCTCTCTCTCTCTCTCTCTCTCTCTCTCTCTCTCTCTCTCTCTCTCTCTCTCTCTCATTCAAACAGGGTACCACTATGTACCCCAGGGTGGTCAGGAATTCATGATCCTCCTGCCTCAGCCTCAGCGTGAATTGCACCACCTTCCCCGGTTTAAATAGCTCCCAGGGGTATTGTCCCAGGTGCATTTTTGTAAGGCCCACCTGGAGGCGATGGACTCTCTTTGCATTGGCTTGTCTTACGTCTTTATTTTTATTCCATATCCTCTTGGCCTACAAAGATTCGCCTACGAGATTTGCTGCTAATCTAATGCACCGGGTGAGGGGGCGTGGCTTGTCTGAGCCCTTAGGTGTGGCTTTATCCTCTTCCATCACACCTCTTTTTGTATCTGACCATTTGACCAATGAACTGTGGGCTGGGAGTCTTCTTGCTATGTCTACTTGGGGACCTATTGTGCTCCTGGGTGTGTATCCAAGAGAAGCTAATTTTCAGCTATGGGTTTTATCAGGCAGATTTCCCACACCCTGTCCCCTTTCCTTTATCTTTAGGTAAAACGCAAGCGAACACCCCTTAGGAGTGGGCCGAGCAGAACGCCAATGGCCTCGATCCCATCAGGCTTACGTATCTCTCTTGGCTTCATCTCCCCCACGGTGGACACTTCGGGAGAGGGATGCGCTTTTCTTAGAAGCCCATTTTACTCAGAATTCAGTCTGTTATACATTGATACATGACTGACATAGGGATTTAACCCCCCCCCAAAGTTAAAGAAAATTCACTAAGGTAAAGGCTGAGGGCACTCTGGGCATGCTCCTCTGACAAGGAAGTCCCTGAAGCTGCTTTAGACAAGGCAGCTCTTGGGTTACTCTCGCCCACTGTCTTTGTCTTGTTTTGTCAATCTTCGCCAAGTAACAGTTTACCTTGGTCTGGGAGTCCCGAGCTGGTGGTGACTACCACCACTTATTATTTTTTGTGTCTAATTGGGGGGGGTGCTCTTTGGTTAGTCCTTCCTTGGCTAACTGGCCTAACAAAACAGTGCGAGCTCCCTTTCTGGAGCAATCACAGGGCAGACTCCAGGAGGCTTTCTGAACTGGGCTGCCAACCTGTCTCTGCTGACTTTGGGGAAGCTGCTGCTGTCCGAAACAGCATCAACTTACGTAGCGCTCAACTAAATTTCAGGAATCGATGTTGCTATATTGAAGCACATGCTTATTAAAAACACATGTTAGGTTGTTAATATTTGAGTTTTGATCAGTGACCTACAGAGTTACAAGTGTCATAGAAAAGATACCTTCAGGCGCTGGGCGAAATCCTAGGAACCGGCTACCCTGAGACTCATCTCGGCGGCGTGGTGGCTGAGGGATCCTGGCCTCGGAAGCACGCCACTCTGTCCGGTGTCCATCAGCAGAGCCTCTGACCCTGGCGGCCTCGCTCTGCACATTCTCAGATTTCCCTGGAGGATGGCCTGCATCCGACGGTCCCTGGACTCTTCTCCACTCAGCTCCCCTGGCCCCCAGCATTTCCCTGGAATGGCAGTCTGCCACGCCTTGTCCATCTGCTTCTCGGCCTTATCTGTCTGCACCAGACCCCAAATGGGCCCTCTCTTCCTCTGCTCCTGGCGTGCCTCGTGGCAGGTGCCATTGGCAGAGCCCTTGGTAACCCGATACAGATGGCAGCCGGTTTCACCAATGCACACCCTTGGCAGCAGACGGATGGTAGCTCAGGGCATGACCCTTGGTGGATTTATTGAGAGGCCCTGCTGTGGGAACCCCATGTGTGTATACACCACCACGAATCAGAATAGCGCAGCTAATGATTCCTCTGGCAGTAAGCCTCGAGAAAGAGGCCCTCCAGCTGGACTCATACCAGACCCCTGGCCACTCAGGACAGACTTCCACTGGGTTCCTGGCTTCCACCTCTGATGGTTTTCCATGGCTGCTAGACTGTTTTTTGGCCTCCCTGGGAGATTATATGTTTTCCACTTTGAATACCATCAGGAAAATCTAACTGTGTCTGTGAGAGCCTCAGTTGACTGACAGACCTAGCCTAGCTTGGGCCTGGGTGGCCCCTACCTGATAATTATAAACTCTTCTGCCAGGATCTCAAAGAAATTCAAGACCCAAACAGTTTTGTTGAGTACCATGCCACTGTCTCCTGTCCTATGCCTTCCACATCAAGCCAGTCTCTGGCGGCCCCCAGTGCCGCCCAGAGTAAGACATTACACAGTTAGGTTCTCAGTGGGCCTAGCACTCAATATGGATACTCTCCTGAGGCCTGCTTTCCCTGTTCCCTCCAACCCCTGCTTGGTCCAGGCCCAACTCTATATCCAGAAGTTTTTGGACTGAGCAGCAGCTGCCAAGGAGAGCTGCTCTGCTGCCCTGGGCCCCAAGAGCCCATGACCCAGTCTGATTCTGTGTGTAGCCCTGAACATAGACAGTACCTTGAGGCCAGCTGCCTCCAATCCAAAGGGCGGAGACCCCAACCTTGTCTCAGTACCTTCAAAATCTGTTAACTCCTATTCCTGAAGCTAGAGTCGGCTCATCTGGGGAGCTGAGAACCCCAGACAACAGAAGAATTCTGAAACCTTAGGGGACCAGGAAGTATCTCTCTGGGTACCAGACATCCCACAAGAGCCATCCTTTGATAAGTCCTAGTCCTCCCTCATCCCTGCCTTCTGACAGTGCTCTAGATGTACAGCAGGGCTCCTGGTAATGAAGGGCTGAGCACAGCGAGGTGACCCACAGCACCCAGACGGCACGGCGCTGTCTACAGATGACTCCACTGACCCATGGCTGGATAGCTAGACAGGCATGTGAGCTTGCCCTGCTCCTGCCAGAACGTGGGCCTGTGTTGGGTTCCTAGGTGGGGTCCTACCGCACACCTGGCCAGTTCCTACAGGAAAGTTTCTGCAGATCGGCTCCCATCAGACGGTAGCACTGTTGCTAGATGCTGTCCTGACAAAGAACCATGATGGTGTTTCTGGGCCCTCGCCCTGCCGTCTGACCCCTGATGCTAGACCACAGTGGAAAGAACCTTTGTTAAATGGTTTGGTTGGCTGGTTTGGCTTTTTGTTTTTGAGGCAATGTCTCACTACATACTCTTGGCTGGCCTGGAACTTAATATGTACCACGCTGGCTTTGATCTCACAAAGAATCCCCTGCCTCTGCTTCTGACTTCTGGGTTTACATCTTTTTTATTTTCATTTTTTCAATGGTGTATCTATGGAGTATAATTGGATACACAGATGTATAATGATCCAATCTGGTGATTGCCGTTTTCTTTTCCTAACTGTTAATCATTTCTTTGTATGGGATTGTATTTGCACTTCCCTCATGATTCTTTATAAAATGCATTATTGTCACCCAGAAGTGTATGTTTTGCTATGGAGTTATCTAACCTTCACGTCTCCTCCTAGTCTTTTCTGTCCTGTTACCATTATCTGCCTTCTGCTTCTACCAGATCAACTCTGAGAGCTTCCACGTGCAGATACATGTGGCATTTGTCTGTCTGTGCCTGGGCTTACTTACTTAATAGTGCCTTTGGTTCCATGTTGCTTGGACTTGTTTTGTTGTTTTTTATGGTTAAGTAATACCCAATTGTATGTATATACTGCCTTTTAAAAACCCACTCATCTGATATTGCAAAAAAAGAAAAAAGAAAGAAAAGAAAAGATACCTTCTATTTACCAGGGTATTACTAAGCAAGTCAGCTACTTTAACTTGCAATTTTTTATTTTTGAAATTGAACATTTTTTGTCATTCATTTATCATTGGGAACAACTGGATCATATCATTTCATTTGCTCACAGATTTTCTTTTCTTTTTTTTTTAAGATTTATTTATTATGTATACAGTGCTCTGTCTGCATGTATGCCTGCAGGCCAGAAGAGGGCACCAGATCTCATTACAAATGGTTGTGAGCCATCATATGGTTGCTGGCAAACCAACTCAGGACCTTTGGAAGAGCAGTCAGTGCTCTTAACCACTGAGCCATCTTCCCAGCCCCAGATTTTTTCTTTTTATGAGCACTTTATATATTAAAGATACCAATTACCTATAAATATGGCCCTAGAACTTGTGATTCTTACTTGCATTTACCCTGTGTTAGGGTTAAGCTTCTGTGATCTTTTCTTGCTTTCGTGTTTGTACCATGATGGCCTGAAAATCATAGCACATTTTAGATGTCTCTGATCAGAAAGGCCAGCTTTGGAAGAGATTAATAACCAGTAACAGTGTTATCAGAGTAATTAAATTTACAAAATTATAAGAGTCATTGAAGAGCTCATTATTAGGGCAGTAAAAGTTATTCTTGAACAATTCATACTTCATACTATACCTCCCTCCACTTCCCAAAATTGTCTGCTGCTCTGTGAGATCCACCAGCAACAGCAATATAAAATCCAGCAGACCAAGTCCAGGAAGCAGCTAAACAGGTAGCTTTGTTTGGCTTCATATAAAAAGGCATCCTGAATGGAAATTACTTAACTCACTTAACCATCCACAGAAAATAAACAGGTTCTTAAAATCCATTTTCTGAAAGCTGAAATTATTTGCAGCATACCATTTAGGAGAATATATAAATTCATACACATGACAGACAAGATGACTCCAGTTATATGAAAATTTAGTTTTTATAGGCACTTTATAGAATATTTAAGTGCTTTTTTTTTAAAAAAAAACCTTCATAATCATTTAACAAAGTAGGGGTGAAATTAAAACCTGGAACAAAATTATACATTTTATTTTTAAAAATTCTTTTAAGTACTTTTATGTTTCACATGATGCAATTAAAAACACTGCCCCAGTTAAATGACATTTTTTCAATATTAATTGATTAAATTACGAAGTTTCTGAGGACTGTCATCTTGACAGAATTACCCTCAACAGTGCTCACCTTTTTAAGCTTTGGTTAAATGCTGTGTGTTAATACAAATATTAAAAATATTTAACATCTTACATGGTCACAGTTCACGAGCGCTTTGCTCCGGCCTGCACACTGACCATGGAGAAATAGATGCCTTTCTGTGCCAGAAGCTGCTGGTGGGTGCCGTGCTCCTTGACCTTGCCATTCTGAATCACCACGATCAGGTCTGCGTTCTGGATGGTGGACAGGCGGTGAGCGATCACGATGCAGGTGCGCCCTTCCCTGGCTTTGTCCAGGGCTTCCTGGACAACCTGTGGACAGCCACACAGAAGATTTATGGCAAACGCAGTCCTCTCCCCACAGTGCCCTCCATGACAGGCCCCAGGACTTTTACTCTGCCCTTCAACCGTGGTGCTGGAGATGGAAGGGGGCAGAAATCGGAACCAAGGTTTCAGTCCCACCAGGAGAGAAGTGGACCCCAGTTTGGATGAGTTCTGAGACACACAAGGTAAGGGCAGTCAGTAGCGTCCATGCGACCATTTATAAACACTCAGGCCTTGCCACACAGCACGCCTAAAGCAGTTCTCTAGCCAGCTCCGCAGAGCATCAGGAAGCTGGAGCCATCACCAAAGCCATCACAGCCGTAGGCACCAGCAGCAAGTGTGTTAGGGCACGGCCAGACTTCAGCTCTTCACAGGCTGCTGCAGAGACCCCGCCTGCAGGAGCAGCTGCTGCCAGCATGCAGCTTGTAGACAGACACCATGGAGCATGAGGGTCCAGACTAGTTCCCCCTCATCACTTCAGGTCTCCTAAGTCCCAGCTGCAGGCACGTTTAAACTCCACTGGGAGCCAACAGGGTGACGCTCAGCTACTGACTCAGCGTTATCTGCCCTGGAAGAGAAAGAAGTCACCTCACATCCTTACCTTTTCACTCTCTGTATCCAGAGCTGACGTTGCTTCATCCAGAAGCAAAATGTGAGGCTGCCTGACGAGGGCGCGCGCTATGGCGATACGTTGTTTCTGCCCACCAGACAGCTGAGTCCCTTTGTCTCCTACTCTGGTGTTGTATTTCTGTAAACAGAATTTGGTTGTTCTGAAAACAGAGCTGATGACAAAGTGTAAACACAGCATGGCTACAGTCAATAGAATAATTAAATAAATTTAGTTTCAAAGGCTGAAAATAGGCTCACAGACAGCTAAAGTAGCCAGAGGGGGGAAAAAAGCTCTAGTTGGTAGGCTTAAATCTCTCTTTGAAAGCAAATATTTGAGCCCCTAAGTTATAAGCTTTAATGTAAACAATCCCAACTTTTTCTCTGCAAGAAGATAGCAATTCCCTTATCTTGCAGCTTCTGGTTTCACTGTGTTTGTAACAAAGATGGACAGGAGACAGGAAATGATTTGAACAGCTGGTTACAATAACAGAAACATCTTGTCACCAGTAGGTGACACCCTCTGCATGATTTTAAACTGAGCAAAGAAATCCTTTAAATATTAGCTTTTTGGTGTCTTCCTATTGAATTATCTCCAGTGTTTAAATGATTTTAATGTGTCCAGGAATCCCACTAAGCTTAAAACAGATCCTTCTGTATCTGATTCTAGAATCTCCTAAAACGGTTCCCCTATCAATCTCAACAGCCGAGAACTGTCACAAATTATGATATATGATGACAGAGACATGGGCTAAAAGACTGTATAATATCAGAAAGCAGGAGAGGATGCGACAGCATATGTAACCAGAAAACACACATCCTTATTTATTTGTGGGCCTTTGGCAGGTTAGAACTAGCCACAAACACAGCTCTGACTCTTGTGAATTTGACTGTAAAATCCATGCTCACCATAAGGGTGCCACTTTTTTTTTTGTTTGTTTGTTTGTTTGGCAACTCCATTTCTGTGGTGGGCAAAACAAGGTCTGCATTTGTGAAGAAGGCAGGCTCTGGTGAGGATGGAACGATGTTTGGAAGGGATCTACCCCTGAGCTACAGCTGCCCCAGAACCCAGGCACTCGGCCATGTCCTGCCCTGGGTGTGTGCAAGGCTACCACAATGCACTGACTCAGCAGTGATCCTTGGGGAGCAGAGAGGATGATGCCATTACCCCTGTAGGAAGGAGGAGACACACTGTGGCAGAGTAAGTCTAGGACTAACCAGTCAGCAGGAGATGCTCATAGAACAGGGCTTAATGACAGAGTGGTAGACCAGAAGTCCAGAATAGCGGGTCCTTGTGGGAGACCACAGTCACGTTGCTGTGTCTTCTATTCTGTGTCACTATTTCCTGGGCTTTAAATAACAAATAGACAGGACTGGCTGCCGGGTTCTTGCTCTTTTTTTTTTTCATTCAGCAGTGCTAATGTAGGGAATGAAAAATCTGCATCTATAACAGCCTCTAAGGTGATGGTTCAAGCTTGACAACAGTGAATCTCATTAGTAAAGGGGTCTGCAGACTTGTGCATTGAGCATTTCGGTCTCAAGAGTCAGTCACCCAGGGCTGGACTACACTGCGGAGGGGAAGGGGACAGACCTCCTTCCAGGTCATGTGCTCAGCAGGAGACGGTATCTGGGGAGGAAGCACATAAAAAGCTACAACTCAGGAAGAGTTAGGGCCGCTCCATCTTGCCATTCTTTTCTATGAGGTCTCTGCCTGCCTGGCTGCCTTGAAGCTTTTAATGTTAGCTTATAGAGGGCATTTCCTGTAATAAGTAACATAATCAGTGATAATGTGAGGTGGCATATTGTTTGGGTTAGACCTGGACAGATGGCTCAGTGGTTAAAAGTACTGGCTGCCCTTCCAGAGGACCCAGGTCAATTTCCAGCACATACGTGATAGATCACAACTGTCTTTAATTCCAGTCCCATGGTATCCGATGTCCTCTTTTGACCTCTATAGACCCTAGGTATAAATATGGTGTACAGGCATACATGCAGGTAAAACACCCATACACACAGAATAAAAACAATAAAATTAAAATAACTTACAGGAGGAAGTGAGAGGTAGTCCACAGGACAACAGCCTGAGAACATTTTAACAATCGGCATCCTAAGAATAGCCTGGGGCCCATGAAACTCACAATGGTAAGAAACTGTACAATACAGGGTCTTCTCAATGACTCAGCTCTGACTAGAGAGCTGTCTTTCTGGTATGGGTCCAGCTATCAGCCTGGCCTAACTCCACAAGGAGGCTTGAAGCTTGTAGAGGAGCTTCGAAGTTGTGGGTGGGATAGAAATGGAGACTGGGGAGAGATAGTAACGACCGTTTCTTTGGCGGAATCAGAAGACATAGACAGATATGGCCTCCTGGCCCTCCATGAAGCCCTGGAAAATGGGGACTATCTCTCCAAAGGGGTGATGCCTCCAGTCCACAAGCCTTGGCTCGATACTAAGCCTCCTCCTGGACAGTCCCTGAGGGGGTGTAACACTTCATTCCTTCCTCACAAGGACTGATACGATCAGGTAAACTCAACACCTGACAGGTAAGGGAAACTGTGGCCAGATCTACGTATACATGTGGAGTATGTTTTGGCTGCTACGCTTTCTTTCATAATCTTAATTTGGAGAGAGACATACGTTAGGCAGCGACTCAATGAACTGGTGGATGTTGGCCTCCTTGGCCGCCCTCACGATCTCTTCCTGGGACACGACCCTGCTGTTGTCTCCATAGGCGATGTTCTCGGTGATGCTGCAGTCAAACAGGATGGGTTCTTGGGACACAATGCCCAGGTGTGCTCGGAGCCACTGGACATTCAGTTGCTTTACTTCTTTGCCATCTAGAAACTGGGAGCAAGGGTTCACAGGTCAACTTCAGCACCAGCGTGATTCAGACTTAGCACAATCATTCTTTAAGATTGTGGGGTTCCCATGAGCTGAAAGGTTTGCCTGTATTACTTTGGATTTGTAAGGTTCATTCAGGGAATACCATAAGTATGCACTTTGGAGAAATACCCCATTTCCCATGTTTTAACCTCAGCTTTTGTCTCATGCAGTAATAAGCAAAGAATGACCTTCCTTCTAAAATTACCCATGTCTTTATCCCTCAAAACTGTGAAAGTATTTTGTGAAAGAGGCATTAAAGTAGCACAAAGAATTAAAGATACTAATTGGCTAATTCTAAAATACAATAATTATCCCAATTATCTTGGTGCAAACAATGTATTCCTAAGGTTCTTAGCTGTGGAAGAGGGGGACAGGAATGGGCTATTCTGAGGTAGCTTCTGCTAGCTTTGAAGTTGGAGGAAGGGACTATGACCTAGAAAAAAAGCAGAACAGCTTGTCTCTTAAGAGTCCCAATCTCAGGAGCTGAAGAGATGGCTTAGAGGTTAAGAACACTGGCTACACATCCAGAGGTCCTGAGTTCAATTCCCAGCAACCACATGGTGGCTCACAACCATCTACAATTAAATTTGGTGCCCTCTTCTGGCATGTAGGCAGAACACTGTATATGTAATAAATAAATTAAAAAAAAAAAGAGTCCCGGGGCTGGAGAGATGGCTCAGAGGTTAAGAGCACTGGCTGCTCTTCCAGAGGTCCTGAGTTCAATTCCCAGCAACCACATGGTGGCTCACAACCATCTGTAATGAAGTCTGGTGCCCTCTTCTGGCATGTAGATATACATGCAGGCAGAACACTGTATACATAATAAAAAATAAATAAATCTTAAAAAAATTATAACAAAAAGAGTCCCAATCTCCCCCCACCCGTGGGGGGGAGGGGGAGGATGGGCAAATAGGCAGGTGTATGGAAGAATTCAGAGTTGGAAAGGAAAGGCCACCCCTCCCCTAGATCTCAGCTTGTGATCTGAGACCCCAGGGAATGGCCCTTTCACAGGGGTTGCCCAAGAACTGCTGGAAAACAGATAATTACATTACAATTCATAACAGTAGCAAAATTATAGGCATGAAGTAGCAACAAAAATAACGCTATGGTTAGGGGGAGGTCAGCACAACATGAGGAACTGTATTAAAGGTTTACTGCACTAGTAAGGTTGAGAACTGCCTTAGATGATTTGCAGGAGCTGGGGAGGCCCCTTTACAGATTTCCTGATAAAACCTTTTTCTGATACAGATATATTAACTAAACAGAGATCTTTGCAAAATAATTTTTGGCATTCAAGTAAGGGAGCAGCTAACGGCTTCTGAGGAAGACCCCAGTACCTCAGCTTTGGATAGCCAAACAACAGTGATAAGTATGTACTGATTCATACATGCTCTCTGTATACCTTGTGACTGGCCAAAGCCTTGGAGAGCACTGGCCAGAACTATGGTAGATCTTTGACATAGGCATGCTTGGGAGACTGGCAGTTATATGGACAGAAGGCAGTTATATGGACCTTGCTGGTACCCAGCCCAGTTGCCATGGAAACTACTCTGTGCATCTGCTTTCCTGGCTTTCTAAACATTTTAGTAAGTCACAGTAGAAAATGAAGGATGGAGAGAAGCATAAACAGATGTGACAGGCATGGCAGTGGGAGCCTACTTCCCCGACACTGAGGCAGCTGAGATAGAAGACTGAAGGGTTAACCCATCTTCACTGTGGACTGTGTAGCAAAATCCTATCTCTAAACAAGCACAGCAAGAAATTCACATAAGAACATAGCTAAACAGGGATCTTGCTAGATGGAGGACTGAATTTTACAAATGGAAATTTGAAGAAATAGGCCTCAAAGAAATTCATTCGATGTCTACATCCCTGGAGGCAAAACACACATTATTTGTCAGAATCGCAGGCAAATCTGAATGACCCCAGTAAGCCTTAGAGAATTTGTACACATACACATCACCAAATACAGTAATACTCTTGGCCCTGATCATAATTGTAAAACACGCAAGGTTTGGAAACAATTTAAAACCAATATTAGCTAAAGAATCCTTCCTCTAAGGAAGACACGTTTGGGAGCCCAGAATATAAGACAGACTCAGAGTCAGGCACAGCATCTGTGGTAGAGGCACATCGGTGAGCTGATGGGAGACCCAGGAATTCTGGGGGATTTCTGGAAATTGCTCCCAAGAACCTAGCCCAAGCAAAGGCCTATCTAGCAAAGCAAAACCTGGTACAGGATAATGTAGGGCTAATCAAAATGGTTAGCTCTTTCGGCTATGGAGTATTACATCTACTGTTCACTGGCGCAGTAATCACAGGCTGCAAATATAAGTATTACTGAATGCACATACACTCTGAAACGGAGTAAAAATACCAAGCACTGAGGACATTTAAGTTCTGTCATAAGCAAAATGCACACACTCTCTCCTTTAGCGTCACAACAGCTCTGAGGACATCACTGTGACCTGTGTCTAATGGGGACAAAAGACCCTGCCTGTGGTGTGTGGGGACAGACTGGACAGGGGAGAAAGGCCAGGCCAGGAGCGGAATCAAGTTAGAGCTAGGCTGTGGGACTTTCAAGTCCATGTGAATCCGGGTACTTGAACAGCATTCTGGACAGGAGGGAGGCCAGGTTGCAGTCAGGAAGCTCTTGCTTGTGAGTCGGTTGCTGAGAAAGGAGCACTCTTCAGAAGATCGTGAGTTCAAGGTTATCCTCAGAGCCAGTGTGGCATACAAGAGACCCTGTCTCAAAAATTTTAAGAAAGGAGGGCTGGAGCAGTGGCTCAGCAGTTCAGAGCCCTTGCTGCTCCGTTATGAAGACTAGAGTTAGGATCCCAGTATCCACAGTTTGAGAGTTCCACAGACCCCCTTAAGTCCAGCTTCAAGGGATCCGATGTCCTCTTCTGTGTGTGCACAGGAATCCATGACCACCCCTTCCATGTATGCATATATGTATAATAAAAGCTTATTGAGGGCATTTCTCAGAGTTCTGGATGCTGGCACTATCTCCTCAGATTGCTCTGAATGTAATGAAGGCTTATTAGAGTTCTGGGCTCAATTTTTAATAACAAAACGCAAAAATGCAAAACCAGAACTCAACAAAAACTTTTGAATGAAGTGAAAAAAAAAGCTACAAAGCATCTGCACAGTTTACAGAATAAACTGAGTGAAGTTTGCCCGATTTTGAATAATCACTGTGTAGAGGTTTTAAAAGCCATGGGTGGCAATTGAAAATTCTCTCCCCATCTTTGTCATTACTGCAGCCAGGGTCCCTTGGAGCTGATGGGCATCAGCGTTTGGGTCACTGCTCTTCTCTCTGGGCAGCTGTCAGCTCTGAGTACGGGACAACCTATAAAATTGCATGCACAATAACAGCTTCCTGCTCTAAATTCTGTTTCTTTGCACTTTTTCCTGTGTCCCACAACACTGATTTAAATACACAGCCAAAGAATGCTTCGGATTCTTTCTTTTAAAAATACTTACTTTGTTCATTGTTATTTACACGTATGTGTTTCAGGGCACATATGTGTCCCATGTGCATACAGGAGGCCAAGTAGGCCAGAAGAGGGAATCGTATCCCCTGGAAGTGGAGTTACAGGCCCACCATGCATGTGCTTAGACCTGGCCCTGGATCCTCTATAGGAGCAGTGAGTGCTCCTGACTGCTGAGCTGTCTCTCTGGGCCTCCATCTCTCTCCTTTTGAGGTTGCTGGCTCAAGTGTCTGCCACCCCACGGCTGTTCTTACTTACTTCTTTCTGTGTTGGCTGCTTCATGGTCCACACTCCCCTAACTCTCCATGTTTCCTCCCAACCATCCTTCAGGCACGCTATGCCGTCTGTGCCCATTTACTCAGAGTATGAAGTGCTGGGGATAGCCCATTAATTTTCCATCTCATCTCATCATTCTTCTCAGTCTTCATCTTACCCAAACTCCTGTTGTGGAACATTACTTTAAGTAGGCAAAGAAAGGTGTGTTACATTTGTTTACACTGCATTTACGTAATGATGTAGAGATGTGTGACATTTGCTTATTCTGTGTTTGCTTAATGAAGTAAAGATGTGTTGCTGTTTTACCTTGCCTCACTAATGCACCTGATTGGTCTAATAAAAAGCTTAATGGCCAATAGCTGGGCAGAAGGGGGTAGGCAGGGCTGCCAGGCAGAGAGAAGAAGTAGACAGAGAGTAAAGGGAGAAGGAGGGGAAAAAAGAGGGAGATGCCCGGGGCCAGCCAGGTGGGCAACCATCAGCCAGCCAGACACGGAAGAGGCAGGAAAGTAGGACACACAGAATGAAGGAAAGGTAAAACGCCTCAAGGCAGAATGTAGATGAAGAGAAGCAGGTTACAATACGTTATAAGAGCTAGTTGGACAAGCATAAGATAAGGCATAGCTCATTGCTACAACCCCCCCACCTCCCAACCCCCATCCCCGGTCTTCACTGACTTATCTTCCTTCTTGAAACACAGTAATTGGTTTTCATCTCCCTGTCACTCCTAGACCCCTTTTCTATTTCTCTTTAATTTTTGATGCCTTTCTCAGGCAAGGGAGTTGGGTGGTAAGTAGGCTCCTCGTGAAGGGAAACAGAGGAGTACTGTTGATGGAGAAGGTGTCTAGGGCTGGTGGTACAGCTTACACACCAAACTTCAGCTGGAAGATGCTTCTCAGTGGGGTTAATTATTTAAAGATGTGAAAACAAAACGTGGCTCATAGTCAAGAGTTGATAACGCCCAGGCATCTGGATGACGAAACCTAAGATGATCTGAGGGCGAACGTGTGCTCACCACTGTCCCGGCCATGGGGTCGTAGAAGCGCTCGAGCAGCTGGACCACGGTGCTCTTCCCACAGCCACTGCTGCCCACCAGGGCCAATGTCTGACCCTTTTTCACCTCCAGGCTCAGCCCTTGGAGCACGGGGATGTCGGGTCGGGTGGGGTAGTTGAACACGACTTCATTAAATTTCACATTTCCATCCAACCAATTCTAGAATGGAAACAGCAATAGTCAATTTGGTTCTGACAGTGCTAAAACAAGGTAGAGCTGACCCTAGCTCCCTCCAGCTGAGACAGATCAAAAGGTCCCGCCTTTCCCTGAGTGCTAGGGTGAGTCTTAAGCACTGTTAAATACTATTAAGTACTGTTAGCCGTGCTGAGTACTAAGTCATTATTGTATCCACCCTTTGGATCCTTGCCAGTGAATGTTTTAATGGCCACACCCCTTTGGGCGTGGCTTCAGGTGCGGGATGTGATCTGTAGGTAGGGAAGCCCAGGGCGGGCACTCTCTCTTGGTTTGCAGTTTGCGGTTCACCATGGGAAGCGCAGAGACTGCATCTTCAGGAGCAGGAACACCATGGCGGTTCTTTACTATTATCTGTGTGAGTTGTTCCCCAATAACACACTTTTATCATGTATCTTGGGTCTAGTGAACTCATTAAACACTCTGCCTTCACTTCTCTAATTATCTGGCTTCCTTGAGCAGAAGGCTATCAGCTAAGCAGCCTCTTTCACAGCTGCACGAGCAGCCTTCATGCCCTTGTGGCTTCATGGAACACATGGATGTCTGAAGAAAGAGGTATTGCAATTAGCTGCTTGATGCAAAAGCAGTTTCAATGGGGGAAAAGCACTATTCCCTGCCACGCCTGTTTCAAACAGCTTGCTGTGGCAGTCCCAAGGATCTCCAGAAAGCATGCTCACACAGGACAGCAGGGAAGTCGCTGGTGGTACTAGTGCCAGTGCCAACGGCCCAGCAGAAGGTCCGCAATGAGTGTCAGTATAGTCTGATAGATGGTTCTTTGCTTCCTACTTTTGCTTTCTCATTGGCAGCGTGGACTGGTCTGACAACACAGAGAGACAGCAGCAGGCCAGTGGAGCGGTGACTGTGGTGTCAGGGGAGGGAAGCTGAAGAGGTCTACAGGACGACGTGGTTGGGAAATGGAGGTATTGATGATGAGGACCGTGGAGCTACAGATGAGGAACTCTAGGCCCTGCTGTTGGAAGAACTGCAAAGCTTGGAGGACCAAGGTCCTGCCACCATAGGCTCAAGAGAGCAATTCCTGCTGTAGGAGCCAAGGGTCCTACCGCTGGAGTCCTGCCCAGCAGCTGGAGTACTCAGTGAGTCCTGCGTGCTGCTGGTGCTCACTGCCATTGGCCAGGGAGACTTATAATAGTTTCAAACGACCGGGGCAGTTGGTGATTAAAGCCTAGAGCGATAAATACCTAAGGTGAGCACCTAGTATCCATGGTCACCGGCTTCTAAAGTCTGGAGCAATAGGCTCCCGAGCTCTCAAAGCTCAGGACCTGCTAGTTCAGTCCCCTATGATTTAGGCACTCCAGGGCTTAGGAATCCTAACAATGAAAGTTCTAACCTACATGCTCATGGGTTCTGCCTATGGGAGAGCAAAAAAAAGACCCCAGCCAAGTGCTTAGACAAATGTAGTGAAATTCTAGAGGCTAACCTTCATTTCAAAAGGACAGGATTTAATAAACAGACTCTAAAAGAATCAATGCCTTGGCCAGCAAGACGTTTCAGTGGGTAGGGACCTTGTACTGAGCTTGACAACCTGAGTTCAATACCCAGGATCCACATGGTGAAGGAGAGATCAACTCCTAAAGTTGTCCTCTTACCTCATGCACTGTGCAAAGTGAACATCCACACACATATGCAACTAAATAAAAATGGAATTTAAAAACTTAAAAAAATAAAATTGATGTATTTATGCCAAGGCATTAACATCATCCAAATATATAACACAAATGCAATAAAGCTTTTCCTCTATAATTTGCCCATAAAGAAGATATTTTTATCTGTGTACTGGATTTTAACATACACAAGTATTGAATGAAATAAAATAAAAAGTGGAAATTTTTATATTGCAGTCAATATGTTAAAAAGCACACATTTTATTAGATTTCATGTTCAACTACTTCTATCCATGGAGCTGGCAGATGACGTAACTGAAAGGAAACTCACAGGCTTCAGGCCTTCGGTGCTGTAGCTGTCGATGGAAGGGACTTTTTCCATGATCGTGATGATATGCGATGCCGACACTTTGGCTTTGGCATAGTCAGAAGCGAATGAGCTGGTATTCCCAGCTGCCATGGCCCCGAAGACAATAGCAGAGAATACCCTGAGACACAAGGAAAAAGAATATGTGCCCACCATCATGGCTGCTGCGGAAGCAAGCTGCCAATTCTACAGCCAGGAGCAGGATGCTGGGTGACCGCTGCTCTGCATAGAGGAAAATAAACAGACGAACTCTGAGGACACCACCACGGTCCCTTCCAGAGCCAGCCTAGATAACACATCTCACCGCCCGCTTAGCCCCGGCACAAGTACACCAAAAGATGAAGGACCAAAGAGCTGGCCTGATTCCCCCAAGTTCAACTTCCCTAAGGAAAAGAGAGTGACGTTCCCGCAGCCCGCAGTCAACTCTGGGTTCTCTGCTTTACTGTCAGTGGGAACCCTTAGGAAGTAGGCCACCTGGCTTCCGGGAGGACTCCTCCGTTACCAGAGTGGATTAGAACACAGCTCTACGGACCACGGGTTTCAGACAAGAATGAAGGATGCCCTCACCTGCTCCTCCCCAGGCAGGCCAGACAACAGTCCACTTCAGCCCCCCAGGTCCCAGAGGCCGTGCCTGAGTCCTCACCTTTGTCCCTTGCCACACACCAATGTCTGGCAGCTGTGGCACGCCGCTCACATTCTTTGTAAAAGACCACCATGAGATTGTTCTGTTTCCTTTCATAGGGTCATGAGTTTGTTTGAAAGTTGAAAAACAAAACAAAAAAGCAGCCTTTTTCTGAACACCCTTAAACGGAGCAGGTGTCCGACTGCGGTACTGATGGCTGTGACTTAGTATCTTCATGTCGATATCCTTCATACTTACGGGAACAGACTAAGGAAGTTACTCATTACTTTTTCGTTGGCATATTTTAAGGTTTAGGGAAGAATGGTACCCAGTGTTATGATTCGAACATGAAGGTTGTATTACTTTTAGGAGTTGGAACCTCGCAGGAGGAAGTGGGTTACTGGGGACGGGCCTCAAAGTTTTACATCCTGTCCTAACTTCCGGCTCATTCTCTGTCTCCTGCCTGTTGATGTGACGTGACCACATTCCTGCCGCCATACCTTCTGTCATGATGGACTGTAGGTCCTCAGACCTCAGATGGTAAGCCTGGATTACTCTCTTTAAGTTGCCTTTGTCAGGATATTTTATCACAGTGACGGCGAAAGCAACCGATGCGCCCAGAGGACAAAGTGTGTTACTTAAAGATGTTCTTTATGGATATTTCTCTCATTTTTAAACAACACATATTAAAAAAATAACTTAGGCCAGGCGGTGGTGGCTCACACCTTTAATCCCAGCACTCGAGAGGCAAAGGCAGGCGGATCTCTGTGAGTTCGAGGCTGGGCTTGACTGACAGCCTCCAAAACAATACAGAGAAACCCTGTCTCGTAAGACCAAAAATAAATAAATAAATAAATAAATAAATAACTTAGAGTTATTGAAAATCAGAGTGCAAGCAACAACCAATTCATAACTTGGAAGAACAACTCAAATAACTACAAAACAAAAAAGGGTTACACAAAGCGCCCCCACACACATGGCAGCTTGACTGGGCACAAGACGCTCAGTTCTTTCATCTCTCTCTGACCTGTGCAAACACTTGTGTCTGAAAGATGAAGCGGGGCCTGCAACCCTTTCAGTCTAGGTCTGGACTCACGTCAGTCAAGAAGAAAACCAGAAAAGTCTTTGTGCTCGGGTGGAGTATCTGACTCAGGAGGTCTTGTACTTCTGATGTTCCTTCATTTTCACTTGTGTATTCTCTCTCCCCCCTCCTCCCTCCCTCCCTCTCCTACAAGGCTGCTGCCAGTCAAAGCACACACAGAGGAAGATCCCGACCTGCCCCCTAGCCAACTACCTACAGCTGCCTTTAACACAGAAGTGAGGTCAGATGAGAGCTTTGATGCCCAACTCAGACAGCACAACTGACTTCATCGCAAGATAGACGTTTTTCATTCCGTGTCACTGAGGCCCAGTGCCTGGCTGCTGGAATGGCATCATACTCTCACAAAACCTATGAAGTATGTGGCAAAAATCTCCTTACATGTCGTGCCACGCAGCTGCTAAGGGGCATCTGCATTTGTGACACAACTATCACAGCACAGACCAGAAAGGACCAGAGAGACATCAAATCCAACTCTCAGTATCTATGCCTAGACACTTCCCGAGACTTCTGCTTTAACAGGCACCACATTTGATTAAGACTGTTGCTAAGCTGATGTTGCCCATCATGAACCAGCCCATCATTTAACAGGCCCTTTGCTCTGCTGGTGACCCCTCACAGCGTTTCTCCATATCCATTTCATTATGTCATAAACAGTGAACCCAGAGAAACATAAAACATGAGACTATTCCAGAACACTGGGAATCCCCCATTTCCTTTTCTTGGGACTCTATACATAGGCTAAAGAAATATACTGCAATTTTAAAAACTACAACTAAATAAGACACATGGACAGTTAATTTTCCTCATATATTAAACTTTTTTTTTTTTTTGGTTAGGTTTTTCAAGACAGGATTTCTCTGTCGAACTCACAGAGATCACCTGCTTTTGCCTCCCAAGTGCTAGGATTAAACCTGTGCACCACCATCGCCTGGCTGGAGATCTTTTAAAATGGTCACTTTTCACAAGGTTCTTCTGGCCTTTAATAATGAGATGATGGATTTTTATAAATCTAAGACTGCTGTGTCAGCAAATTTCATTGGTTCAAAGGCTTGTAACAAAGCAACATATCAAATAATTATATACTTGAGAACCCAATACTTACAGCATAACATTTTCAAAAGTCATGATTTTATGCGCCACCAAGTAGGCACCAAACCGGAAACAGGCAGCATAGGAAAAATACATCATGGCCTGGGTGAAGGAGAACGTGATCCCAAAGACATGTGCTTTCTTCAAAGCATTTCTGGAATGAAGAGAACCCAAATTCACTTCACTTCACTTCTCAGTCATTCAAGGAACTGACCATGGGTTGGCAGGGGCACACAGCAGTGACAGAGTGGATTCCATTTCTAAGGAACACAGCTCGAGGCCCTTTGACTTAGATGTGTGAACTTAGGAAACTGCCTCATCTCTGAGGCTCAGTGGTGTCTTCATCCCTAAGGTAGGACTATTCACCTCAGCGGGTTCTCACTAGGCCTGTAACCCTGAGAGGAGCCTGCTTTACATTAACAAATGAATGGTCCTTCCCTTTCCAACACATGTACCCAACACCCTCAAGCTGTGGGTGACAGGGCAGCAGGCATGTCCTTGCCCTTGGGGGTCTAGATGAGGTGCACGTCATCAGTCAGTGGAGGAACAATGTGCTGTGGGGAGAGACAAGCCCTGGAGTGTCTGCAGCCAGAGAGGCTTACAAACCACGAACGTTCCAGGAATGTCTGAACAATAAGGATCTTGGGTGTGAGGCCTGGGCAGGAGCAGGGTGGGAAGGAGCAGCCCTTTGACCTTCCAATCCTGCTAAAAACTTTCTTCTTGTCTTTGCCATTCACTGGAATTTCAAATGAAGACCTTTCCCAGAAAAAGGGCCTAGCAGCCATGATTATGTCAAGGTGCTTGGAAACCCTTCAGAAAGGTCTAGAAGCTGAAACTCTAAGGTTGGGCTTGCTCATGTCCTAGTTCACTTTTTTTCAGAGTCCTCATCGATACTGCTGGGGTACAGGGAGAAGAGAGGATCTCCTCAGGAAAGTAAGGAACAGGAAGCATCCTTGAGAGATCCCCTCAGTGTCTCACAACACCCCCAATTTCATGTTCCACAGAGAACCTTCACCCCAAATCCAGCAAACAGTGGGGCCATTATCCCAACTGGACACAGAGGCGTTGACAGTTGTCCTCTTGTCTCTCCTCCTCATTGTCACCAGCAGTCACTGCCTCTGCTTCCCGGACGCCCCGCCTAAGCTTGGGTCTCAGGTGTTCCTTCTAGCGCTTTCTTTCTGTTCCCTCTACCGTCTGGCAAAGGCAATCCCGAACACTGAATCCTCACTAGAAAACTCCTCAGAGCCCTGGTCCACTCTTCAGGGCTTCTTACCTGTATGGTACCTGCAAGCTCTGGGCATACATGTTTTCAAACTTCTGCTCCCGAGTCAAGGAGACGACGGTGCGGAAGTTCTCAATTGCTTCAGTAGCAATCTGTAAACACAACAGGCACAAGATCCATCCAAGAGTCAGTGAATTTGAATTCTGTAAATCACATCAATAACAGTAATTTATTATAATGTATTTAGCATTTAGGATTATCTATGAGCATCTCTACTGAAAGAGAAATTAAATAATTTCTCAAACTGGACTTCGGATCTGTATGGGAGATCAACTAATCCTTCCCCCTCCATGTAGCCAACAAAGCTAAACCCACTGCCTTTACTTGGCTTTTAAGAAGGTACCTGAGAATTCACTGTGTCCTTTACAGTTCTTTCTTTTACAATGCACTTATTTTAACCTTAGGATTGTTTTAGTTTGTTTATTCATTTACATGAGCCAGGGTCTTGCAAAATATGCAACACTGGCCTAAAACTCGAGAACTTCTCACTTATGTCTGGGTGTTGCTAACACTGACATACACTGGAATACCTGGATATATATATATGTTTTGCATATTTTTAAAATGTGATATTCATAAGTTCCATTGTTTTGTTTAAAACACATCTAGAACTACACTACAAAGTAAAAAGTTACACATTAGCATCTTACACATTCACCTAAACATTGCTTTTCCCCCAAGTCTACACATCTTTAACGATAAAGCCGGTTACGAATTCTATCCCAAGGTTATTAAGCACATGCAGTGTGATACTTTAGACAATCTTAACCACGCAGTGTGTCCTCAGCCCTAGCAGCACTTCCAATTCTTATTCACATACATATCTTTGGATGTCAACATTTGCCAGTATTAAATGATCTCTCCTTAGGAAAAGTTTTTGCAAGGAAACACACTAGGTCAAAGACAGTAAACCCTGCCTGTCGTTAACAGATATTAATTGTACAAATTGACAGGAGTCACTGATATTTCCACATACTCACATATTATGTCCACCCACTCTTCCACCCTCTCCTCATCCCTGCTAGGCCCCATACAGGTTCTCTCTTATCTTTTAACACTCAACACATGAAACAATGTTAACTCATGTCACCACTCATGTAACCTACTCCAACTCTACTTTCTTGCAAATGACAGAAGTTTACTTTTTTGGGGGCTGAATAACATCCAAGGATATACATATAGCACATTTTAGCCATTCATCGTTCTGGTTTTTGGCTGAAGAAAATGAATTTGCAAGATGCCTTGAGTAATGTGACCTCTTCATTTCCCGATTCAGTAGCACAGACTGTCCTTCCTTTGCTGTCTCCAGCTTCCCTTATCATTTGTAGTGAATAGTAGGAACCAGGGTTGCTCTTAGGAACTTAGTTGTTGTAGCTGTTAGGAAACGGGATTTCTTGTTTGTCTTAGTGAGGTGTGGGTTGGTGTGCAGAACAGCTACTGACATTTGCATATTATCTTGTACATGCCTCTCAATAGATATTTATACATGTGTATATATATATATCATGTATACTATATATACACATGCATACATATCATGTATACTATAGATCAGTATACATGCATATATATCATGTACATGCTCTCTAGTGAATTCATCAATTCTGGTAGTCTCTCAGCAAAGTCCTTTTCTGTCTAAAATATCTGAAAAGGAGACTGCACTTCTCTCTATAATTTTTCTCATGTGTGAGCTCTGTATCTAAAACTGAACAGTGGTGATATTGGATATCCTTGTTTTACTCCTGACTTTATAAGAAATGCTTGCAGCTTTTTCTCCATTTAATACATAACCTATGTTTTTGCCATGTACAACCTTCATGTGTTGAGGTATGATCCTTCTATGAATGTTTTTCATCAAGAAAGGATGTGTAATTTTCTCAAACGCTGTGTCTAGATCTCCTATATGTTTACTCATGTACCTCATTTCTAAATTGTGCACATTGAGCTACTCTTGCATCCTAGGAATAATTCCAGGTCTATTATGGTGTAGTTCCCGTTTTGATTTCTTGAGACAGCATCTCACTATGCAGCCTGGAGTATCTTTAACTCATTAGCCCTAGTTGGTAACTAGCATTCTTCCTAGCTGTCTTGTGACTGTCAAGATCACTAGCATTCACCATGCCAGCCAGCACAAGCTTTTCCTAACCAGCTTTCATATCACTTTGCATACATTGTGTGAAGGATTTTGCACTGTTTAACCAGAGAGTCTCCTGTATGGTTTTCTGTTTTTTTTCCCTGTTCTGTCTTTATCAGGCATTAGTAAATGGGTAATGTTAGCTTCCTAGAATGAATATGGAGAGGTTTCTTCCCTCTCTCATTTGTTGTAGTGTGCGCTTCCTTGTTGGGAAACATTACCATTCAATCTCATGTTTTTATTGTACTTAGCTTCTTAAATTCCTTAGTCAATTTTGGTAGGTCATATTTGTTCATAAATTATTCTATTTCCTCTAAATTTGCTACATTATGAACATTGTCCCCTACAAATGTCCCCTCATGGGGCTGGAGAGCTGGCTCAGTAGCTGAGTGCACATGTGGCTCTTCCAGAGGACCCAGGTTCAATCCCAGTACACATCAGGTGGTTCACAGCCACCTCCATCTCGGTTCTGGGGGCAACTGCATACACCTGCACAAGACAGATGTATCATTTAAAGAGTAATAAGACATCTTTAAAAATTACAAGTCCCCCAATGATCCTCTGAGTTCCCAGCAGCATTAAGCATAATGTTTACTTTTTAAGTTCCCATTTATTTGATCTTATCTTTTGGCTAATTGAGTACTCAGCAATTTGATTTTTAAAAACTAACTTTAATTCTTTAAAGATTTTGTGTGTGTGTGTGTGTGTGTGTGTGTGTGTGTGTGTGTGTGTGTGTGCGCGCGCACGAGTGCCCATCATAAGGTGCTCATTGAGATCAGGTGTTAGATCCCCTGGAGCTAGAGTTACAGGCCTGGGCTGCCTGATGCTGGGCCTGGGGACAAACTTGGGTCCTTTGGAAAGGCAGTGAGTGTTCTAATGCACAGAATCATCTTTCCTCTGTGATCCTGTATGGTGTTCTTTTCTGCTCTGTTTCAATTGCTTGTGTCCTGATCATCATTGTTTTTGGTTTGGTTTGTTCTCATTTCTACAAGACTTGAATGCATCACTAGGGTGGGATCTCCTTATGGTGTAGGAGTTCACTGCCATAAACTTCCTTCTGAGCATTGCTTTTGCAGGTTCTCCTGCTGTGATCAGAGAAAACCAACTGGTCCTTTTAAATCCAGATAATGTCCCAGAGAGACTGGGATCCTCAGCTCACACGCTACTACTGCCTTGGAGCCCAGATCTCCTTTCAGGTCCATCAGTAAAGTCAGATGCTCTGATACTTAGTGCATTTAAACTTATCTTCTGATGAATCCTTCCCTTCATAAACAGCAATCTCCTTTATGCATTCTGATTTTCCATGAAACTCTCTTTTGTTGCCTGCGAGTGTGGCTAACCCTTCTTGCTTCCATGTGTTTGGACTATCGCTTTCCATCCTTTCACTTGCAGACTATGTATTTATAGGTGAACTTTCTTATATGTTGTTGCATCTTGCTTCTAATCCATCTATCCAGTCTGCCTTTTAATTGTAGAATTAAGACCATTTACATTTAGTTATTATTGAAAAACATATACTAGATTCTGTAATTTTCTTCTTGTTTATGTTTCATTTATTTTATTCATCTCGAAGATCTGATGGCTTACTATATTGCTGTTTGATTCCTTGCTATTTTTCATTAATGTTATCTTTTAGTGGTGTTTGAAAATACACTATTTCTTAGGAACATGGCAGATATACTCTTCCCAAATATCTTTCATCCAATTACGATCTGATAATGTAGTACCTCTATCCAGGATATTTGTTCAGTACACACATTCTTTGCCACATTTGGAGTGCGAGTAAAGTTATGTGGAGAATGCAAAGAATAGAAATATCCCCAATGAGATTTCAGTCTCTATCAGTCATGACACAAACTACCAGTCTCATGCTTCTCATCTGTAAAGTGAAGGGGATGGATAGAAGTCTCCACCATCTCTTTAACTCTAAAACTAGAGGTCACCAGAGACATTCCTCTTATTGGTTCAGATATTCTCTCAGGCTCTTTCATAGGTCAGAACTGATTTTAATAAGGATACATCCCATTATGTCATAATTTATGAGGAATGTAAAACCCCTTCTTCTGCATTGACTCCCATACAAGTTACCTCAATTTGAAAGGGAAATTAACAAATCATTTTAGTGTATCAGTATCAATGTGTTCTGTCTTCATATATGTCTATGTGCCACTTGTATGCTGTGCTCATGAAAGCCAGAAGAGGGCATCCAATGCCAGGGAACTAGAGTCATGGATGGTCGTGAGCTGCTGTGTGGGTGCTGGGACTTGAACCCGGCGCTCTAGAAGCCCATTCAAGGAAAGGACAGTCAGTCAGTAACTCCAGCATGGCTGCTACTTTCCCAGTTGAGGTGTCCTCAGTACTCTAAATCCTGGTTTGATGCTACCTTTGCTTGGTCTCTCAATCATTCATTTCTGCTGTATGTTTTGAATACTTTACTTGATGATGCATTGCTAACTATCTGCTATTTGCTATTGTTCTTTTAATTTCGTTTGCTAGCTGCTCACCTTATAAATTCATTTACACACACACACACACTTTCTTTCCCCTTGTAATATCAGCATTGGGGGAGAGGAGACAGGAGGATCCTTGGGACTTGCTGAGTCAGCCTAGTCTAACCAGTGGTTTTTAGGTCTCAGTGAGGGACTCTGACTCAGAGAAGGCAGGTGGCTTCTGAAATGAGTCCGTAGGCTGACCTCTGACCTCCCTACACATACACAAAAGCACCCATACTCACGTACAACTCCATACACACCAAATATGCACGCATTTTAGAAAATCCTGAAAGTAAGGAAAATAAGATGTTAGAGAAAAAAAAATACCCAGACAATCTTTGTTCAGATACCTTAAAATATTTTTAAGTATATGGGTTTAAATAAATATGAGAGCTTTTGTGGGTTAGTAAGACAATAGAACAAACCACAGCAATGTGTGACAGAAAATAAGTTCATGGTCAACTTGAATGAATGTCTGAATGGCTTCTTGGGCATCATTTCCTAAGGCAAGGGTGCTGGGCTCTCATGAGTTTGTAAATATCATGTCTTTTCAGTGGGTAGTACTGATAAAAAAATGAGAGCTTGAGGCACAGACTTTGTATGGTCAGTGAAATGACACACTATCCCACAGAACTATCCCTTCATTTAGAGGTGCAATTAAGCAATTAGGAAAAAACTTAAGTAGAAGCTTGTATCCTTATAGCTTCAATCTCTACAAGTTTTTAAGACTAAGAAATTCCCAAATTAAAAACTTTTAGTTGGAAGAATAAAAATGGTACTGTTTTGTTTAGAAAGTATCATTTACTAAATAGCTTTGGAGAAAGGGAAATGCATGAATTTGGAAAAACAAAACAATGAGCCACTTCACCCTTTTCCTGCTGCCTTCAAAAATTCATGTCTGATTATGGCTTTCAAGATTGGGAAAAAAACTACATCTGCTTCCAGTAAGTGCTCATTAGTCCGTAAGAACATGACTGAACCCTGCCAAGCACAAGCCTCAGACAATCAAGGCTACAGCGCACTCTGACATCACGGAACGAAAACGGTAAGCAGGCCCTTACTTCACAGACGCCATGACTGAGGCTCTGACGTCAAACCCAGGGACAAGGACTGTCTGTGATACCACACCGTGAAGACGTAAGAAGTCCCTGACATTACACAGTTGGGATATAAGCAGCCCTTGGCATCACACACTTGAGTATAGTTGTTCTGTGAAATTACACAGAACTGGCGAAAAGCTCAAGCTTACCTCATTCCTTTAGAGGCAAATCACCAGACACAGGCTAGTTCTTCATGGCACTTATGTTTTAGCAAGGAAGACACACCATTCACTAGTAAAGAAGCAGGGCAGAAGCCTCAGAGGCAGAGAGGAGGCGTACACTCTGTGGGGTGTGAATAGGCTGTGAAAATGCAACTCAGAAACCTGACTGATAAAATGAACCATCCCTGAGATCCAAGGGAATGAGAGGGGTCCCATGGGAACTGCACAGGGCCCCTGGTGGCTGCAGCAGTGTGGACAAGGAAAAGGGGAGTGTAAGACCAGTCATCGAGGACTAGGCCACATCGAATTTCTAGCTGGGATAAAAGCTTGGACTGGATGCACCTCGTTAGAAGGCACTGCGAAATCTGAAGTACAGGTTAGCATGGTCAGCCTTGCATCTAATAGTTATGAAAAGGGATTTTGTGTGAAGATTATAGACTATAAGAGGATAAGACCAGCAGGGATAGACCAGTGAGATGTCCATTACCTTGTGACTTTGGACAAGATCCAAGATCTCTCTAATCTTTGGGCCTCATCATCTCACGAACAGCAACAATTCTGCATAGTTACTGGCAGCGTTAAGTAAGAGAACACACACACAGCTCATAAGATGATGATGGCTACAGGCCAACTATTTAATAATAAATGGTATCCCGAGAATTATAACAATGAGGTCAGTTTCTAATATTAACTAGGATGGCTGGTATAGCCACCACCATTGGCTCTTTGCACCACAGTCCCTCGAGCCTGACCATGACTCTGAAAATCTGCTATAGACACACGCATCCATCTGTATCTGTACCGTTTCCGGGTCTTAGGGTTGTCATCTCCCCACCGTATCGATGGCATTTTAAGCATATCAGCACTATAAAGTCATGACCCTTTTCCTCAAATGAAAAGTCTTCACCACAGACATAAGGAAACTCAATAAACACATTGTAAGCTATGGTTTCTTGAACCAGAACACCCTCAGGGCATTCACACCGCAGAGTTGGCCCCGGAAACAATGGTTGGAAGCAAGAAAGCTGGACTTAAGTGTTTCTCTCAAAGGAACTCCAGGGAAGCAGGATGAAGAATCTGGGTTGACCAACCTCCAGGACCTGTGTCATCACTGAGGTTCATGGCTAGGGGACAAAGTACCAAACACACACCCATTGGAAACCCAAATCTACTCCCACCTTGCCTAGGACCAGTGAATCTGGAATGCCCATCAGTAGATACAACCCTGGGAGACACTGGGCTCATTTTGGGGACTAGCCCTGTTTTGAATTCTCATTTCTCTGATATCTGACTATGCTCCACCACATAACAGAATATGGGTTCTCAGCTATTTGGAGTGCCACTGCCTTAGTTTGAACCTAGCTCCAGGAGTGATTGGTTCTAAGGCATGAAGAGCATAGCCTGTGTGTCCATCAGCCTCACCTAAAAAAACAATGAGGATTTTAACAAAACACATCCGGTAGGATCACTGCAAGAAAGTAAAACGTTTGCCTGGAAATCCAGTAAGCCCCACAAAAGCATTTGTTAAGCTGTGGGGGGGGGGGGCAGCAAACAGGGTAAGGGAAAGAGAACAGACATGAGCAGGAGGAGGCATGAGACGAGGGAGGGCGGCAGTCAAAAAAAAAAAAAAAACGGAGAGAGTAAATGCTTTTAGGACATTTCCAGACTGAATCTCCCCAGTCACACTTAACAGAATGTGTCTACATTCCCGAACACAGGAATGGCTTAAAGGGAGAAAAACCGAGAAGGTGGGGGGAAAGGGAGCCAGAAAGGGACGGAAGGAAGGAAGGAGAGGGCTGGGTGGGAACCCAGGAGAAAGTGGAGGAGACAGCCTGAAACCGCAGCAGCTGTGAAACGCGAAGAGCAGCTGCCGGTCTTCCAGCTGGGAGAGGTGCTGCCCACTTCTCTTTGGATATGAATCTGCAGGAAGCTCAAGTTTTCTTGGGGAAGGATTAGAACGACTTCCCCAGAGCACAGCCCGCAGCAGGGAACTGGCCAACATCACCACCAGGAATCGCTTTTCTGTTAGGTAAGAAACGCGCTTAGTTTGACTCACCTTTCCAGAGACCTCTAGCTCTTTCCTGTCTTTCAGAGCTTGACCAGACAGCACTTTCATTTCCATAATGCTACTCGACACAATGAGCGGAACAAGCACTACAAGTAAAAGTGTTAATTGCCAGCCATAGACTAAGGATATGATGATTCCTGTCCCGAGGTTTGCTACATTCTGGGTAATTTCAGCAAGCCTGGAACCGATAGCCTGAAAAACACAACAGATTAGAGAGCCAAATTTGTATTAACTGTAAAATACAGGTACTCCTAAGAAGTAGGGCAATTTGCTTTCAAGCAAATATGCTAATTATCTTGTCAGTTACTAAAGAACTGCTTTACTTTTGAGTTTATTGTGTTTCTAAAATGAAGATTTCCCCAACTTCTACACAAACATGAAAGTAGATCAATAAGCCAGAACTCAGATTTTTCTCTCTATTCTGATTCCCTTTCGCTTTATCCGTTGTGTTTGTACTGAGGTATGTGTGTGCATGTGTGCTTGTAGGGTGCATCTATTAAGAGAATGTTGGTATCCTCATCCAATGGAGGCTAGAGCAGGATGTGGGGTGACTTCCTCTATCATTCCCTGCCTTACTGCCTTGAAACAGGGTCTCTCATTAACCACAGCTTGCTCACGAGCTCCTGGGTCTACCCGTCTCTGTCCCCCAATGCTGAGGCTAAAAAAAGGCACATTCAGCCATGCCTGGCTTTTTTTACATTGAGTGTTGTGGATTCAAACTCAGGTCCTCATGCTTGCAGACAAAGTCTTATCTTCTGAACCCTCTCCCCTGGCCTGGCTGAGTCTTCAGTACCAAGACATGTTCACCTATCAAAGCACTTTCACTAAAGCAAGCTGTGTAAAAGAGACTGACCTGCCAATGGTGGCAGATTCAACATTAGGCACCCATGCTTACAAATTAAGACTAGCATTTTTCATTAAGGGTATTAAAATATACCTGAGCTTATTTGAAACACTTATTAGGTTTCATTTACTTGGTTTACGAAAAAAATACAGAGTGAAAAAATTAAGAAAAAATGTGAGTGCGCGTGCGTACTGCAGTCAACTAACCGTATGCCAAAGAGACCCTTTGCTACATTCTGCACAGGTCAAAGAGCAGAGTGGCCTTTCCAGAGCTCTTCCTGCACGTCTCTCATGTGAAGATCAAGGGAAGCAGCCTGGGAGACTGCAGGCTGGGGATGCATGAGGCTGTCCCAGGTGTGTGTAATCCTACACCGAACTCATTGCCCACAGCAGCTGCTGATGGGCAGCAGCACTCAGAGCATCTCCCATGGGTACAGCAGAGGCATTTCCCTGGCTGTACCTTTAAGACATAGCAGGCCCTGCTTTGGTAAGTAGGTCACAGGGCCACAGAATCAAGAAATCCAAAGATGACAAAATCTTGCTGTCTGCATGGCATCACTGAGGTCTGTCTTCCTTGCTTTCTTCCTCCCTCCCTCCCTCCCTCCCTCCCTCCCTCCCTCCCTCCCTCCCTCCAGACATCTAGGCAGTCTCTAACTCTGTATCCTGCCTCCATTCATCTTTTTCCATTTTTTGATAGTCTGACATAACAAGAGGGCAAAAGTTCTATCTGTTACACAAAACACATAATTATGCCTCGTATGTATGTCCTACACAACTTATCATTAGGTCTTTAGTGTTTGACTTATTCATTTAAAAAAGATAAATACAAAAATAATCCTTGAGCTTTATAAGACTTTGAAGAATTTTCCAACGCACCTATGTGACTTCATATTCCAATCTATAGGTTATAGAAGCCCCATCTATACCCTGAAAAGTCATCAGTATAACTCTGTCTTGCAGGAAGCTTGAAGGATAAAGATTGACACAAAGACTCAGCATTGAGGGGGGACACAACACAGAACACATGTCTGAGTTTCCACGCCATCTACTGCTATGAAGTGGTGATATAGAAGAAGCTGTAACTTCAGCCAGAAATCAAAATCTAATGTGTGAGAGTTCAAAGTTATTCCCGCTACGCAGGTCATGATTTTTAATATGTGTTTTGCTCCCTACAATCATTTTAAGGAAGATTTTCTACCCTCTGCTCTGAACTGTAACGCCCAGAAACATCCTGACAAGGGGTACATGTGTCCATTCTCACAATTGGCCGTTAACTGAGCAGTAAAACAGACTGGCCCTGTAATATGCACTGTTAATACTTCCCTGTCTATTAGGTACTGCAGAGAGGTTCCTTTTCCAATAGCTATTCCAAGTGGACCTTATCAAAAGGATGCTTATCAGGTATAAACTATGTAATGGATATTTAACTTTGTACCTTAGCTACAACACATGTGATATCCCACTGGGTTAAACAGATATTTACACTTTTTCTGTTTTCTGTTTTTCTGTTTTGTAAGAGACAGTGACTAACTATAAGGAAAAACCAGTCTCATGCTGTGGATCTAAGTGGACTGGAGATGCCCACCACAGGAAGCACTTACCCCTTTAACATCAGCAGCCTCTCTGGCTAGCCTGGTGGTCAATGCGCCAGTGCTATTTTTATGATCATCAAACCAGCTTATATCCTGTAACACAAAAGGTATTTTTTAAATGTGATGCTCTATTTATGAAACTCTTAGATTTAGGAGGAAGTGAGTGTCAGCTATCACATATCTCCCCCCACGCATTTAGTATCCAAAATTTAATGTTTAATAGACAGAAGAGAGTTACACATGGACATGTAAGTGAACTATTTTACTTGTTAATTTATACAAACAGTATCTACTTGTCTCCAGCAGAACTCCAAGTATTAAACAGTGAAGAGTAACATGATGTTACTATCGACATAAAGCCTCAACTCTAGGAAGAGAAGGCACAAGGAAACAAATTCACACTGTCACATAGTGAATAACGCTTGGGACAAAAACATTTGAAAGAAGGACAAAGAAGAAAGGGACAAGGCACAGAAGGACTGCTGCACAATATTACTTGAAGACATGTTACATTGGTTTATACTGAGGAACATTTGTTTAACGATGCAAAGACCTGTTGCATATTTTTTCTTTCTTTTTTTTTTTTTTTTTCTTTTTCGATACTGGGTTTCTCTGTGTAGTTTTGGAGCTTGTTCTAACATTCACTATGTGGCCCAGGCTGTCCTTGAACTCACAGAGATCCACCTCCCCTTGTCCCTGCTGAGGATTAAAGGCCTGAGCCACCACCGCCCTGCATGCTGTGTTGCACTGCATTCTTTTATGTTGCATTTCTTTAACTCTGTGAAGCTGCGTTACTTTGCATTTCTAAAACAGCTGATGGTCTAATAAAGAGCTAAACAGCCAATAGCAAGGAAGGAGAAAGAATAGGAGAGGCTGGCAGGCAGAGAATAGGAGGAGAAGAACATGAGACAGGAGAAAAAAAGGAGGAGGAGAGGAGGACATCAGGGGCCACCCAACCACACACAGCCAGCCATGGAGTAGGAAGTAAAGAAAGGTACACAGAATAGAGACAGATAAAAGCCCAGAGGCAAAAAGTAGATGGAATGATTTCAGTTAAGAAAAGCTGGCTAGAAATAAGCCAAGCTAACGGTGGACATTCATAAGAAAGAATAAGTCTCCATGTATTTATTTGGGAGCTGGGGGGCGAACCCCCAAAATAAGAGTAAAAAGAGCCAAAAGAGTAAAAAAAAAAAAAAACTACAAAGGATTTTCTAAGGGATGTATAAGCGAATATGCAAATGAAAGAAGAAATGAGAACTTCTAAGAGAAAGCAAATGCAGCACTTGCAAAGACCCCAAGCCAATCTTAACAAAAGCTAGCAGGTTGGGTTATGGTAGCCTAAACACACAAACAACAGACCCACTGTGTTTATCTCTGAACCTGTCTCTTCCTCTGGATCTTTTTGTCCCATTGGGGTTCCCGGAATTCCTCTTCCACAACCACTGTGCAGTTGCCTTTGGTGTCCTGAAGACACCATGTGCTGGACAAGGGTCCCACTGCAGAAAACTCTGTGAGGCTGATGGGCTATGCACACTGTGCATGGCCTCTGGCAACTGTAGAGACTACGGACGTTTCCCTGCTGGATACACACTGCCTCCCGACAGGGATGAGGATGGAGGTTATGAAACCAGCTAGGAGGCTGGTGAACAACTGGAGCAAAATTAATTAATATTAAAAAATATTAAACAGAGACGGGAGTCATTAAAAGTTTAAGGTGAGCAAGGATAACTCTTCCTTCCTGTGCACATTATCCCCCCCCCATAGGCACAATTAAAAAATAAAATAAATCTTAAAACAAGAACAAAACAAAAGCCAGGAGATACTACTGTCCTTGTAGGACACTGGTGCTTCTCTGAGCTGGGTTCAAGTGCCTCCCCCTTGCCTGGGCTAGGATGCCTGAACAATTCTTTTTTTGCTTTTTTTCTTCAACTTTTTATTGATCTATGTGTTTTTCCCCGCTCCCCTTCCCTCTTCCCCTCTCCCTTTCCACCCTCCCCCATTCCCTGTACATTCCCAATTCACTCAGGATATCTTGTCATTTTTTTCTCATTCCTAGGCGGATCCACTATGTATCTCTTTGTTGCCTAGGTTTTTCTGTGCTTGCGGAATGTATGCAGGTTATTCTTTGGTTTATGTGTAATATCCACTTATGAGTGAGTACATATTAATCTTGAGTTACTGGATCTGGGATAACTCAATCAGGATGGTTTGTTTCTTCCTAGCTGAATATCTTTCTTATTTAATAGCAAAGGTCCAGTGATCATAAAAGTTTTAAAGTCATATGCAAATTTCTCACAATTAATAAGAAACAAAAATCTTCCCTCTTTCAACTGGGTTGCAGTGCTACAATTTTCCCAAATCCTACTTTCTTTAAGGAAAATACACTCCTGCCTGTTTTGAGGGTCTTGAAGGAGCAAAGTGTGAGATGCACTCTGTCCTGTTAAGTCAGGAGGCTAACACTGCACATGGGTTATGTCACTCTCCATGGAGCAAAGAAACTAGGCAGTAAGGGATGATGGTCACCACAATGACCTTGGATTTGTGGAGTGAAAGGCAAGATTCCTGCCCAAGGACCCTAGGCGGAAGGAGGAGTGGGAATGAGGACTACTGGAGATGGCCCCGGCTTCTGTGGTCTTTCAGTGCTTGACCAAAGGCTGAGGAGAATCTTCGCTTCAACTCAGTCCTGTTCCTACATCTACAGATGGCTCACCAGCATCTCCACAGCAGGCTGAGGGAGACCCATGCAGGATCTCTCTCTAGGGAACTGGACCAATCTGTGTCCATGGAGCACAAGACAGAAGTCCTACCCCCCTCCCCCACCCCAGGTGCAAGCCTCACCGGCCATACCTGTCTCAGCATGGATTTGAAAACCATGTATCGGAGTCGCTTGGTGAGGATCTCTCCAGCTTTTCCAAATGTGAAGCCCTAAGAAGAATGAGAATGTGTCACGCAGGAGGCTGGCCAGAATGTTTAGAGTGTGTTAAACAGGGGCTGGAGAGATGGCTCAGCAGTTAACAGCAATGGCCGCTCTTCCAGGAGACCCAGGTTCCATTCCCTGTAACTCCAGTTCCAGGGGACTGGCGGCTCTCTTGTGGCTTTTGCTGGAAGCAGGCATGCCCATGGTACACAGACATACATACAGACAAAACCCGGATGGGAGATGCCATTCTGTAAATATGTCTCCTATTGGTTGTTGAATAAAACACTGTTGGCCAATAGGGAGGCAAGATAGGTGGGACTAGGAGTTGAGGAGGATTCTGGGAAACAGAGACATGGGCAGTCATGATGTAGCTGCCATAGGAATAAGAGGTCCGGACCCGTTTCTCCAGTAAGAGAAATACTTAGATTAGTAATTATGGGTTAAATACTTAAGTCAGAGACAGCCAGTAAGAAATCAAGCAAATGACTAACAGCTTCATAATTAATACAGTGTCTTGTGTATTATCTGGGGACTGCAACTGTGGCAGAGCCCAGGCAGCTGGGGGGGGGGACCAAAGCGGTAGGCAAGGAAGGCTACACATATAATAAAATTTTAAATAAAAAACAACTCAGAATGTATTAAAGAATCCCATTCAGAGCTTCAGCTGGAAGATTTCATGTGGGTAATCACTGACTCATTCATTAGAGGTTGTTTCCCAATGCTCACAGAGATCCAGGCTTTCTCACTTGGTCACGAGTTCTCTCACTCATCGTGAGGCAGCATTTCCCATATTTTAGAGAAAGGAAGCTCAGGCACAGGCAGCTAAAATGACTAATTGTTCCACAGACACATAATTGGCTCTGTGTGCAAATGACAGAAAGACCTAGGCCTAACTCCAGAGTCCACACTGCATGCCTTTCCACACCATACTGTGAGAATACTTAATGGTTTGCAATTAAATTTGGGTCATGTGATTTTTCAAACTGCAAAACATGTTAAAGATGTAGATGCTTCTCTCCTTTTAACGATTGGTATTCTCCTATCACTGAAAGGGCTCTTTCTGCCCGGCGGTGGTGGTGCATGCCTTTAATTCCAACACTCGGGACACAGAGGCATGCAGATCTCTGTGAGTTCAAGGCCAGCCTAGTCTACACTTACCGAATTCTCTTAGTTTATTAGTTTTTGTTTTTCTTTTTTTTTTTTCCAATATAGAAAGGCATTTCTCTAAACACTAACTTGACCAGCATTAGATAGCTCCAAACTTACTCCCAGGCTCCCATTCTCAAGTTTCTTTCTTTGTTCTGATCACTGCAGCACATTGATCATTCCCTTCCTATGATCAGGTTGAGGATTGTGTTTGGGGAAAGGGTAGAGAGGAGGAGGAGGAAAGAGCCTGAGGAGGGGAGCCCCAGGACTGCTACAGCTCAGGTAAAGGAGGAGGAGCTATGCAAACAGGAGAATTAAATACCTGTCTGCAACAACTTCCCAAATGAAGACAGAAATGATGCAGACACTCACCTGAAAGAAATACGTAACCAAACAAATCATGCCCATGACCAGAAAAAAGAGTGAAAACAAATTACAATTCTGTCGTCTGGTTTCGGGGTCATCATCTCTTGTAAAAACCTGTGACAAAATATTTGAGGGGTTGTTAGTTCTATCCCTGAGGAAGGCATTCCTTGGGGAGCCCATTCCCTGTCTCACACAGTTTGGAGGACAGGACAGACTTTGTTTACTGGAACAAGGTTGGCTTGCAAGATGACTTCTAAGACGTCTCATTTTGCCTTCCTTCAAGACACAGGGGTCTGCCACTTACTGACTCACCCAACATTCTGGAAGGCAGGTAGGTTTTCATATAGACTAATGCATGCCGCCCTACTGTGGAATAAATTGTAATAAATTCTCTCCACTTGGAATTTTTGTAAGGAACAATATTGTTCAACAATTCACTGACTATGTGAAGATTTCAACATGTTCCAAGCTTTCTGGGTTGAATATTTGGGACTGGATAGCTATCAGGGAGCTCATCCCTGAAGAAGATGAAGTCTCCCTCTCTCAGCAGCCAGTGATTATAGGACCTTGTGAAATGTCCCCCACCCACATTGGCATGTTGAGTGGTGTGTCACTTTAAGGGTCTAGTTTTTATATTGCCGAGGTTTCACCGGTGAAGTTCCATGTCATCCAGCAGCAGGCATCCTTGGTTCTCTGGCTCTTACACACTTTCTGCCTCCAAAGGACAGCTCATTTTGTCAACTGCCTTTTATCCTCATTTCTTTGTGTTTTTTCCACTAAGCAGACCCAGTAGGATGTGGGTGCGTTTGTGCACATGGGCACGCGCCCATGTGCGTGTCTGTGTGTGTGTGTGTGTGTGTGTGTGTGTGTGTGTGTGTGTGTGTGTGTGTGTGTGTGTGACAATAACAACTGTGAAAGAGTGAATGAATTTGAGAGGGCTTGGGGAGTAGACCTATGTTGTTGGATAGGGTTAAAAGAGATGAAAATGATGTAAATGCAGTATTCTTGTAATAAAAACTCAGAAACAATTAAAATTTTAAATAAAAAATTAGATTTCCTCTTAAAAGTTAGACAAGTCATGTTTTTCTGGCTTATTGCCATGGTAAAAATAGAAGTAATTCATTCATTCTTCATCAGCAAATACAAACATATGCACATAAAGGACATGAGCACTTACCCCTATGATTCTTGAAAATACTATGGCAAAGACGGGTTGCATACATCCGTTTATAACAGCACAAAGTATACCAACAACTAAATAAGGCCATTCTGTTATGTTTAGCTTCAGGATTCGCCAAAAGGAAACTAGAGGCACATTTTCATCCTAGAAAACATACATTACAACAAGATAGTTTACAATCTGATAACCTGGGGGCTACAGAAATGTCTCAGCAATTGAGAGAACGAGCTGATCTTCCAAAAGACTCATGTTCTTTAATCAGCCCCCACAAGGCAATGAAAAACTGTCTGTACCTCTAGTACTAAGGGATCTGATTTGGGCCTTTAGGAACACACACACACACTCACACACACACACACACACACACACACACACGATACGAAGACATACACGCAGGAAAAACACTCTTACATATAGAATTATTATTTAAAACTGACAACTAAGTTTTGACTAGTAGTACTACTTCTAAAGCTAACTCTGACAGTTTCATATAAAAAAATTAATGTTATTACCAACACTCTTGGCCTAGAATTCACTAGAGAAGAATATTTATAATTGGGAACAAACAGAATAGAAACTTTAATAGTGGCAGGTCCACCAGAGTCTCACTCATTTAAAAAAATTATTAAACTGCCCTAACACATAATGATTCTGATATTATGGGCATCTGAGGTTATAAAGAATGTGTGCTTCAAGCTCTCATAAACATAACCTTGGCTGGCTAGATGTTTCTTTAAATATATTATGGCTGGACTCCAGCTCTAGCCATCTGTCCAGCCTCTTCGTGTACATTAAGAGTACCATGGCATACAGGAGGGGCTGCCTACCTCTTGCTATTGTACACAGTAAAGTGAAGGGTGGGTGGTGTAACTCATGGGTAAAGTACCCAACTAAAATATATGAGACCTAGCACCACAAAAACAAAACAGAACAGCATGGCTTTATTAATGCCTTAGATTTATCCAGTGTTCCTGACTCTAGGAATTCCTGATGGTGATGGCTGATATCGTCAATTTAATAGGATCCAGAATAACCCAGGAGGTAGCCTCAGAGCACAACATTGAGGGATTACCCAGATGAAGATCTGGTTAACCGCCATGAGAAGACCTAACTGTGGGGCTGAATCAAAGGGGCGGAAACAGACACAGGCACACCTCACTCTCCACGTCCGTCTCACGTCCCATCACGAAGAACTTTACCCTCGAACGGTGAGATGCAATAAACCCATCCTCCCTGAAGTTGCTTCATTTTTGTCACAGCAAGGCCACTGTTGTGGAATATTAGTTTAGTGGTGATATTTAGTTTATGGTCTAACAAATAAAGCTTGCCTGAAAATCAGAGTGCAAAGCTAGCCACACTAGTTAGCCACAGAGACCAGGCAGTGGTGCCACACATGTTTAATCCCATCATTCGGGAGACGGGGGCAGATGGATCTCTGTTAGCTCAAGGTCACCCTGGGCTATACAAAACTGATCCAGTCTGAAAGAGAAACAGAGCTCACACAAAGAGGATCCCGGCACTTGGAGTGACACGCCTTTAATCCCAGCACTAAGGAGGTGGAGACAGCAACGGTATGTCTATGTGGAGAGAGGTATATAAGGCAGGAGGAGACGAGAGGAGCAGGGCAGTCTGAGGATGCAGTCTGAGGACAGGGTCACCCCTTTGGTCTGAGCATTGGTAGAGGTTAAGACCTCCCTAGTGGCTGGCCACTCTGCTTCTCTGATTTTTCAGTACCCCACCCCTATCCACCATCCCCCATCTCCCCCGCACAATATCTGATTCTGAGCTTTTATTATTAAGACCTATTACAACTCATGCTACACTTTAAGATATGTAATATTTGTTTATGCTGTGGAATATTTGTTTAATGATGCAAACATATGTTGCATCTTTTATGCTGCATTTGTTTAACTCTGTGAACTCGTGTTGCTTTACCTGTCTTAAATACCTGATTGGTCTAATAAAGAGCTGAATGGCCAATAACTAGGGAGGAGAGAGAATTAGGTGGGACTGGCAGGCAGAGAGAATAAATAGGAGGAAAATTTAGGCTAAATAGAAAAGAGGAGGATGCCAGGGGTCAGCCATGTAGACACAATGCCAGCCACAAAGTAAAGAAGGAAAGCAAGATACAGAAAACAGAGGTAAAAAACCCAAAGACAAAATGTAGTTAAAGAGAAATAGGATAATTCAAGTAAGAAAAGCTGGCTAAAACCAAGTCAACTAAGGCTGGGCATTCATAAATAAGTCTTTGTGTATTTATTTGAGAGCTGGGTGGTAGGTCCCCAAAGAGTAAAAAAGAAAACAAATAACAACAACAACAACAACAAAAAACAATTATAGACCACTATAGTTTCTTTACATAAATCCTAAATGTAAAAAACTTCCTATGAATTTCTACTCTTCTGAGCTGACTGTAAAATGTTGTAATTTTGACTTCTGGAACAATCTATAAACATGACAGAAGGAATCTAAACAGTATCTTGTTTTACCTCCTACCCCAGCCCAACTCACCCAACTAACAGAGTCCCAAGGAGGGTCTGGGGAGCGTTTAGCATTGAGTCCACAGCCACACCCATACCTGGGCGTCTTTCACAGGGACTCTTCTCTCTAGGTCTTGTGGACCTGGGGTGCTTCTGCAAGTTTGTTTCCTTATTAAAGGGGATTTGAATTCTTTTGAAGTCAATTCAGAGACACTGGTGTCACTCTGGGAACCACAAGCTTCACTTCCCAGTTCGGTTTCATTTCCTCTAGTCTAAAACAAAAATGAAAGAGAAATTGGTTAGGCACAGACAGACAAGCCCATAAGCATTAACACTAAGAAAATCAGGAAATGTTCCAAGTTATTATGAGACAAGACAGGACTAAGCTACTACGCCTTCCCATGTGATGGAATGAAAACCACGTAATGAAAAGGACTGCCAGAAATGCAATGACTCCCAGATAGCCATTTCTGTGCTGCTTAGTTTTCAACCTGACATAAACCTAAGTATCTAGGAAGTAGTAACCTTAATTAAAACAATGCCTCCATAAGGCTAGCCTTTCAGCAACTGCATGGGGTGTTTTCTTGATTTTCGATTGAAATGGGAGAGCCCTAGCACACTGTGTGAAGTTCCATCCCTGGGCAAGTGGTCCTGGTTGTCTAAGAAAGGCTGAGTGAGCCAGAGGGAGCAAGTCAGTAAGCGGCCTCCACGACTCCTGTGGTCAGTCCCTCCTCCTGCCCCGCCTTGAGTTCCCTGGACAGTACACTGACCACAAGCTATAGCAGGAAACCCACCTGCCCTCCCTACGTTGTGTTTGGTCCTGGCATTTTATTACAGCAACACAAAGCTAACTAAAACAATCTCTTTTCTGGGGCGTTCAGTCAATCAAGTTTGCTTTGAACTGGTGCTATCAAAGGCAGTGCGGTATATTCCATAATAGGAATCACATCTGTCACTTCAAACTTTCCACCAGTCACATTAGCAAACATGAAAATGGATTAAAAAATCAATTTAATTACATATTTAATCTAGTGAATCCAAGATATTACTGTTATCCAACTTATTATAGATTCAATAAGTAACAATACAAAAAGCTACTGAGATATTTTGCTTTTTTTTTAATACTAGGCCTTCAGAATCCCCAATGTTCATTTTGTACTTAAAACATTTCAAAATCCAGGTTAACCAATATTTAAATGCCCAGGAGCCACATATGGCCAGCAGCTACCTCCAGGGGTGGATTATCTCTAAACCTTGTTAAACGTTAATTATGCTTCTTTCTTTCCCAGAAAAAGTAACACAGAACACTTGCCTGGTTCTGAATATCAAACCACTTTTCCTGCTTTTCAAGATAATCAAATCAAATCATCTACAACATTAAATAGTAATGTGTCATCACCAAGATAATTCTGGATGATCCTAGAGTTTCACCGAACCTGCATCATGACAACTCTGCAATAAATGCCCTTCTCTTTCATGAGCTTTTCATGATTTCCTTGCTCCACGATGACACCGTCATCAAACCCAGCAATAACGTCAGCGTTGCGAACTGTAGACAAGCGGTGAGCTATCACAATGGTGGTCCGGCCTTCTCTAGCCTGGGGAGAGGGAAACCTGGCTTTTAATACATGATAATTATATGTTAAAAAAAAACAGTAAATCTACAGAAAATAGTCTATGATTTCAATAAATATATGGGCATGAAGCTCCACTTTAGCCAAGGAGCTATTCATAATAGATAGCTCTGGTAGAGAAAAAAGCAGTTTTCTTCAATTGAGTAAAACTGTGCATCAGCCACAGTGCAGGGCAGGCCCTATGCTCAGGAAACTATACTCTGGTTTTCCATGTTTGTTTTGTGTTTGTTGTTGCTGTTGTTTTTGTTTTGTTTTGTTTTGTTTTTTGAGACAGGGTTTCTCTGTATAATAGCCCTAGCTGTCCTGAAACTAGCTCTATAGATCAGGTTGGGCTTGAACTCAGAGATCGCCTGCCTCTGCCTCCTGAGTGCTAGGATTAAAAGCATGCCCACACCACAAAGACAAACATTTGTTTATTCTAACAGACAGAAGAGAGAGACTATGAAGTTGGGTGGGTAGGAAGGCGAGGAAGGTTCTGGGAGGGGTTGGGGTTGGGTGGCAGCACTTGGAGGCAGATTAGAGGTGGATCTCTGAGTTCAAGGCCAGCCCGGCCTACAGAGTTAGTTCCAGGACAGCCAGAACTACTCATGTAACAAAACAACAACAACAACAAAGAATATCATCAACATATATTGTATGAAATCCTCAAAGGATAAAAACATCGTTAGAAAATAAATGAAACTTTTTTTTTCTAAGTAGGGTGCTCTATACTCTGGGGAGGTAGAGACTGAAAGATGCTGAGACTCAGACCTGCCAGTGTTGCCAAGACAGTGAGCTTCAGTTTCAGTGACACTATTTCAAAAAATAAGGTGGACAGTGGACACCAATTAAGAAAGAAAACCCATACATGTGCACACATGTTCAAGTGTACCCATGCACACACACACATACACACACACACAGTCACACATACAAGAAAAAAACATAAACAATGGAATACTATTATTTCTGTAATTCAGTCCTTTGTAAGCATAGCTCACAGACCTTATCCAGAGCAGCCTGAACCAAGGCTTCACTTTCTGTGTCCAAGGCTGACGTCGCCTCGTCCAGCAGGAGGATCTTGGGGTTGCGGACCAGGGCACGAGCAATGGCGATTCTCTGTTTCTGTCCCCCACTCAGCTGGGCCCCTCTCTCACCGACCAGAGTGTCAAATTTCTACAATTAGTAAAAAATAATACACAGGAAAATGTAGTAGACAACAACTACTCAGTTTACATTTCAATAGACTCACCAGCAATACAGTCTGGTCCTTGGCAACATGTATCTACCTCTAGTTGGTAGGGTGAGTGATGAAAAATCCACAGTAAACCAATTGTCCTCTAAGGAAGTTTCCCAAGTTCACATGGACTGAATCAGGCCAGGTCTCTACTCCCTGAACCTTGGGGTGACAGGGGGCAGACACAACTCACATGGGGCAGTTTCATGATGAAGTCATAGGCGTTGGCTTCCTTGACAGCTTTCTCGATCTCATCCATGGTGACGTCTTCTCGGCCATAGCGAATGTTTTCAGCGATCGTGGTGGCAAACAGCACAGGTTCCTGACTCACCACGCCAATGATTTCCCGCAGATACCTCACGTTGATGGTCCTGATGTCCTGCCCGTCAATACTGACCTGAAATAGAATGTGTGGTTTTCACACTGCAGAGATCACAGAGTCAGGATGACGGGCAGTGGTAACCGCTGCGGGCTGCATGTCCACTCACCACGCCCTCTGTGGGGTCGTAGAGCCTCTGCAGCAGCTGGACAGTGGTGCTTTTCCCACAGCCACTGTTGCCCACCAGGGCCACCGTCTGTCCGCTCTGCACCTTCAGGTTGAGGCCCTTCAAGATCTGCCAAGACAGGTGAGAAGCTGATGTTAGGGCCATTCCCAGGACAGATACACACACGTGAGTTCTATGAGCTGAAAGCTGAATTAAGTACTGGGTTTAACTACATAACATATATGGGATTATTTGCCTTATTGTCCCTATCAAACACCACCATACCTTAATTCCACTTCGAGATGGGTAGCTGAAGTGGACATTTTTAAATTCTAAATTTCCCAAAACATTGTCTGGTCTATGACCCTGTGTTGAGAAGCTGTCGATGCTTGGCTCCTGAAACAGACAAATATTTTAGGAGATCACTAGGTGACAGTGGCTACTTTGTAGCCATGCTGGGCAGAGAGAGGTGGTAAAAATGAAATTGATCCAATCAGAAGCATCTGTTAAGTAGGTGGAAAAACGGGCAGGTCAGACTCACATTATCAATTATCTTGAAGATTTCATAGGCTGCTCCTCTTGCATTTGCAAAGGCTTCTATGTTTGGGGCGATGTGTCCAATACTAAAAGTACCAAATAATATAGCCAAGAAGACCTGAGGATGGGGACCAAAGCGTGCAACTAATTAGCACTCGGCACAATTCTCCTCATGGTTCATTTTCTTCTCACATAAACAATTTCATTTCAAAATGACAATGACTGACAGTCAATTGACAAGAATAAAGAGTATTGAGTACCAAAATATTATTTATTTACTTACTTACTTATTTGGGGGGTGCTGAAGACAGGGTGTCTCTGTGTAATGGCCCTAGCTGTCCTGGAACTTACTCTGTAGACTAGATATCCGCCTGCCTCTGCCTCCCGAGTGCTGGGATTAAAGGCGTGTACCACCAACGCCCAGGTGAGTACTAAAATATTTTAACTTTATGACTAAGAGATTCATGTTCCAATGACAGTAATCAGCATATGCAACTACTGCACACTATACACATACATCAGAATATTATATTGTAGTCACCAAAAGTAAAATATTTGGCATTCTTTAATTAAGATTAAAAACTCATGTGAATTAAGTTTACACAGGTAATGTGCTTAGAATCCGGAATAGTCTTGCTTGCTTCATCACCCAAGGGCATACTTTCTGTACAACCGTCATATTAAATAGCAGGATTTTATTGTCAAAGATGCAGCAGCGTTTTCACCTAGACTCGCACAAGAATAAAATGAAATAAACACAAGGAGACCAGGTCAATCCCTGGATGAGTACTGTACTCTTTGGGACTTTCCCGATCTGTGGCCTCAGGTTGCCCTGATGCAACCAACTCCGCAATGCTCTCTCCCTTATGCAGCACACAACTGAGACACGCTCAGTGTCCCCAGCTCTCCTCCCTCCGCTGTCTTCATGAAGTCTAAGGGACAGCTATTTGGGGCTTTGTTCTCCATTTTATTCAAACACTTTCTTCTTGTTAGTAAAGGCTCATCTTTGCTCTACTGGAGCTTTACGAGAACTGATGACACTACTTGTTTCCAAGCCATATAGGAACACGACTAGGTATCACGATTAGTCTTCATGACAGCTCTCAACGTTACAGCAGTGCTCATATCCCATCTGGCTGGCAGAAGAAGTAACAGAAGCCACAAGAGTTTAGACAGCTGCTCCAAGTCACACGGCTGGCAAGTCCAGCTGGATTTGACCACAGTGTGTCTGATATAAAACCCTGCAGGCACTATTGGGATTTTGTAAGACAGATTCTCACTCAGTGACCATCGGATGTACATTGCTCGCCCAAAGGTGGGGTTGTAGCTCAAGGGCAGAAGAGATATCTTGGCTAACGTGTATGAAGCTCAGCTTCTATATTCAGCATATAGATAGATAGATAGATAGATAGATAGATAGATAGATAGATAGATAGATAGCACTATTTCTCCACATCACACTAAGCAGGACACAATTCTTATTACAACCTAAGCTCTTCTACTTAAAAGCACTTAACTTCATAAGAATAAAAACTACCCTAGGGGCTGGAGAGATGTCTCATACTGCTCTCGCAAAGGACCCGAGTTCAGTTCCCAGCACTCATTTGGGCAGTTCAAAACCACCAGATAACTACCTGTAGCTCCAGTTCCAATGGATCTGACAACTTCTTCTGGCTTCCATGGCACCCGCACACACATGCATATAACACACATACACATAGTGATAATAAAATAAATTTTTTAACTACCTTAAAAATTGGAGGGGAGGGGAGCCTACTGCTAATCAAACAGACTCATAAATGGTGTTTAAAAAAAATAGATGCGATTGTTACATCTGTACCACAAATCTGAATTTTGTGCTGATATTTTGCTTGTGCTCTAACAAATAAATTTTGCCTGCAGATCAGAGGGTGGAGCAAGCCACGAGTTAGCAATAGAGGTCGGGCAGTGGTGTCATACACCTCTAATCCCAGCACTAGGGAGGCAGAGATGGGACTATAAAGCAGATAGAGACAGGATCTGGCCCATTCACTCTGAGGATTCGTAGAGGTAAGAACTTAAGTGGCTGACTCCTTTACTTCTCTGATCGTTCAGCATTTACCCTGATATCTGATATCCAGGTTTTTCTTATTAAGACCAATTAGAATTAGCTCTACAGAATTTTGATAAAGAGAATTGCTCACTAGACATGTGGTACCTGCCTATGATTGCCAAACTCAAAGCTGAGTTTAAGGATAACCTGGACTACATGGTGAAACGATCAAAACATAAAAAGGTACTACATTAAATGATCCAAGAAAAGGAGGCAGGCCATGAACCCAACATGCTTGTCTTCAAATGAAAGAAAACAGCACCTAGTACTTGTACAGTTCTGCGAGGCAGAAAACCTCTAAACAGAATTTGGTTTTACAGAGAGCAACAATTTACATTTCTATAAAACTGTGAGGTGTATCAGCTATCATTCAAAAGATCTTTCACTATTTTTGTTTGAATATTAAATCAGAACATAAGAGAAACACCTTGTATGAAGTTTGTCAAAAAGAAACCATCTCATGCAATGTGGGTTCACAGCAGAGAGGTGACTAATGTATTTAGTCTACAGGTCTGGAATCACCTTTTCTGAAAATACTTCATGTATTCAGAGATTAAATTCGGCCAGACCTTGCAACCAAGTTAGTAATATGCCCTAAGACCATTTGAAACCACATAGTCACTGTTTCCCTAATGTGTGTTCATCCAGTTTAGCTTGCCATACCTAGGACTTCAGATATACTTATATTTTATTACCTAAGCTAAATGCATAGCTTCAATCTTATCTATATTTCCATATTCGTGACCCAGAAGACAGAAGAATCTCTCTCTCTCTCTCTCTCTCTCTCTCTCTCTCTCTCTCTCTCTCTCTCTCTCTCTGTGTGTGTGTGTATGTGTGTGTGATGGTAATAATTTGCTATAAACAGGCAACAAACTGAAAACAACTTTAAAGAAAACCAGTATCTAACATAAATGTTGGGGAAATCAAGTGTGTATAGGATCTACCTGCAGTTTTGGGGTCAGAAAAATAGCATCTTCCCTTGTAAAACTCTATTAAATTTTTCAGTAAAAAAGAATTTTTCATTGCTATCCAATACCATGTTTTTTCTGTGCTGTTCAATGAATATAGTGCAAAGTCCTTTGTAAGGACAGAGAGACATCAGATCACAATTAACAAGACAAAAGACACAGGAGACTGGCACTCTGACCTACAATCCCACGACCAGAGTCTGGGAAACAGAACGAACCTTCAACCAACGACTGATGGAAGCAGAGGCAGACACCCACAGCTAAACACAGAACTGAACTCAAGGAACCCAGTGACAGAGAGGGAATGATGAGCAATGGGATTAAGTCTGGGCTGGTTTAACCCACAGAAACAGCTGACCTGAACAAGTGGGAGTTCTTGAACCCCAGACTGATGGTGAATGTCAGTGAGGAGACCCAGGCAATCTATGGGGTCTTGGGTAGTTGATTAATATTCATCCCTGGCACACAAATGGACTTCGGGTGCCCATCCCACAATGAGGGATGCTCTCTCAGCCTAGACTCTTGGCCTAGAGTCTAGGCCCTGCCCTGGATGAAATGACAGACTATGGACACCCGCCATAGGCCTCACCCTCCCTGGGGAAAAGAGTAGGGATTGGGGTAGGGAGGAGTGGGGGGTTGAAGGGAGGATGGGAGGGAGAGGGAGAGGGAGCTGGGATTGACATGTGAAGCAACCTTGTTTCTAATTTACATTTAAAAATTTAAAAAAAGACACAGGATGCACATACACACAAAGAGACAGACAGACACATATATTCTTCTGGGTCAGGAATATGGAAATATAGACAGTTAAGATTAAAGCTATGCATTTAGCTTAGGTAATAAAATATATCTGAAGTCCAATGTATGGTTAGGTATGGCAAAACTTAAAATTGGAGAATTCAAATGTGGGCTTATTCTTAGTTGTGGTAGTTTGAATAAAAATGACCCCAATATATGAATATTTAGTCACGAAGGAGTGGAACTCTTTGATAAGATTTTAAGAATTAGGGGACATGGCCTTGTCGGAATAAGTTTGGCCTTATTGGAGGAATTATATCACTGGGGGTGGGCTTTGAGGTTTCAAAAGCCTGTGTTAGGTTTATTCCACTCTCTCTGTCTGTCTGTCTCTGTCTCTCTGTCTGTCTCTGTCTCTCTACCTTCAGATCAGACTGTAGTCCTCAAGTACTTCTCCAGTGGAAATGGAGATCTTAATGGGTCAAAATAATAAAAATCTGGAGTCAGATATAGAGGGAAATGCTGAGAGATTAGAGAGAAGAATCAAGCCACAGCCATACCTTACCCCCGTAGCATCTCAGCAGACAAGAGAGTTCCTGCTTCTCCCTGCTTATATCTGTTTCTGCCCAGCTATCTCACTTCCTGTCTGTCTGTACAGACCTCCAGACCTCTATGGTTATCTAGTGGCAATCTCCATTTCTGACCTTCAGACAGGCTTTATTTGTACAAACAAGATATCACGAGATATCCCCTAAAAGGTTTAACTAAGATAGGAAAAACTATATACAATAAGGACAATAAGTATATATAATAAATACAGGCAATAAGTACATTAACAAAGTCTAGTTCATAGCATTTGACAAATTCAGAGAAAAATACTCCATTATTTATTTTTTCTTGATGGATCCAAAGTCTTATACATTATTTACTTTCTATTCTATTTTGCATTATCAAATTATCTTTTAATGTCTTTCAAACCTATTACACTTAACACATTTTTAGATGTGTCACCCAAACGTTTGGCAAGAATTTCCATGTAAAGCCTGACAAAAACTTAAAAAGGGTTCTGAATACACAGAAACAGAGTCCCACTAGACTTCCTAGTCTCAGTCTCATGCAGGCCATGGTGCAGAGACTCCGTGGCATTTGGGCTTGAGCACAACATAGCAGATCATCCCCCACTCCTGCCCCGTGGTTCCCAGGGGCTGTCTGCAAGCCACACAGCATGCTGCATGGGAGACTCAGCGTTTACTCATATAGACAAGAAAGGTTTATGGGCAATGTGCTACAAGCTGCTTGAGAGCAGCATAGATCAGAGTCCAGGCAGTGAGCACAGCTCCCAGAGCTGATGGTGAACACACCCCCACTATGTTATAAGACAGATTCAGAGGAAAAAACCCTTTCAATGGGTTATAGTGTGTTTAATAATATATGCAGACTTGGGAGAGAAAAGAAAAATGATAAAGTCCTTAGAAAAGAAATAAGAGTAGCTGTGTGTGGTGACGCATGCCTCTAAACGCAGCACTTGAGAGGCAGAGGCAGGTGGATCTCTGTAATTTCAAGGCCAGCCTGGTCTACAGAGTGAGTTCAAGGACAGTCAAAGATACACAGAAAAATCCTGTCTCAAAAAACCAAAAAATAAAAACAAAAGAAATGAGTAATATAAAAAGGCCACATAAAGATGGACAATACACTGAGAGGCTGCATACTGTATGTTATTGGGTTTTCTTTGAATTGTTTGACTGGAAGGAACAACTGCTCAAAGACACTTGATTACAAATGCTGCTGGATTAATCGAATCTATGTATTTTAGAAATGCCTTGACTTCAAAATTTAAGCCTAAGGACATGTTACTTTGGAAAAGAGATTCTGCTGTTGTTTCCACAGAAAATGAAAAACTGTGGATTCCTTCCAGACTAATATGGTTTGATCAAGCCAGACCCCTTGAAGCAATAGCCCAGGAGATCCAAAATCCGAGACAGCAGAGACCACGCAGGCTCACAGACCACTATAAACACAATTTGGCCAGGGTTATGGATTTCTCAGGACCCTCATGGGATTGACAGCACCCATAAAATAGCAGGAAGCAGTTTGGAGAGAACTACACCCAAATTCCCAAATACTACTTACAAATGTTTGTTTTTATTTACATAGGGATGACTATAAATGGTTAATGATCACAGTCAATCTGCTTTCTAAAGCAAAAGGGGACTATGATATAGAAATGCATGGGTATGGATTTTAGTTTATTGATACAAATTTAAGGTCAACTTTGCTATATGTATACTTCTACTTTTGTTTAGGTATTGTGTTTATACAGCTCTTTTTAAAATGTATAATTAAATACAGATTATAGATAGCCACCTATAATAGTCAAAACTTATGTTAGATTTCCTAGATATGCAGAGATAACATTAGGATGGATAGGTATTCTTCAAAACCTTTCAAAGACCTACAGAATACGGCATTCAAAATGGTGACTTATGCTAGATTTCCTAGATATGCAGAGATAACATTAGGATGAATAGGTATTCTTCAAAACCTTTCAAAGACCTACAGAATACGGCATTCAAAATGGTGACAATGAGACACAACTGCTCCTGCGAGCACCAATTAAGTCAGAGCGGAAGATGACATCAAAGAAACTTGTTATAGAGTTTGCCTTCAGTGTGGCAAGACTGGCCTACTGGTCAAAGAACTGCCCTTGCCTCAACAACTGACAGTAAGCACACTGTCCAAACTGGACAAGCAGGTTACAAAGCAAAGTGACTGCTGAACTTGCCAAGAGACAGGAAGGTACTCCAGGGTTCTTCCTTTATAGAAAAAAGCAACTGACAAACTTTGCCACTACAAGACAGAACAAACTCCTACTTCATTAAAAACTCTGCCAGACACTATGGCCTATGGGCTGAAGATGGCTGCCCCAATATTACAGAGAAACTTTGGGTGACTGCCCAGGCAGCAAGATGTCTCTGTCAGTTCTAGAGTTTATATATCATCCTTCTGGGGTCTTTGATGGGATATTGGAAGAGACCCATGAAGTTCAGCTAGTTTAGTCTAGAGCATGAGACTCTTAATCTCAGGACATGGGTTCAAGCCTCATATTTGGCATCACAGGGGACTCACTGAATATCCCAGGCTGACCTGAAACTAAATATATAGACCAGGCTGGCTTCAAGTTCACAAATATCTGTCTGTCTGTGGACAGAAGTTTCTGTCCTGCTGCCTTCTGTCCCAAATAAACACACAGAGGCTTATATTAATTATAAAACTGTTTGGTCGATGGTTCAGGCCTTTTATTAGCTAGCTTTTTCTTAATTATTAATCCATTTCTATTAATCTGTGTATCTCCACATGGTCTTGGCTTACCAGTGATGTCTGGACCTGTTGCTTCCTCAGCAGCTACATGGCATCTCCCTAGCTCTGCCTACTATCTTCTATCCCTGTTTGAATTTCCTACCTGGCTTAATCCTGCCTGTCCATTGGCCAGAACAGTTTTATTCATCAGCCAATAAGAGAAACATACATTGACAGCATACAGGACAACCCCCATCATCCAGCACCATGTCTACCTATGTGACACCATGCTCCCCACCATGATGATGATGAATGAACCTCTCAAACTGTAGGCAAGCCCCTAACTAAATGCCTTCTTTCATAAGAGGTGCTTGGTCATGGTGTCTCTTCACAGCATTGGTACAATAACTAAGACATTGGTTTATAATGCTTGAAGAGGAAGACTTGTATTTTTATTCTTTAATGCAACACTGACACATAAAGAATAAGTATTCTTAAGATATATGAAAGAAAGACAACAATATTGACTTGTAGAACCATCCAATTTGCTCTCGACTCTTGAACCTAGTGACTGTTTGAATGAATGTTTCTTTATAGCATTCAATAGGTTTCAAAACATTCTTCTAAGGTCAAATTAAAACTACTCAATTTAAATGGCATTGTTAATCAGTCCTTTTATAAATCACATGTTACTTACAGTAAGCACTTGTCCAACAGAGTATTCATTTGAGAGGACCAAGGAGGTCCCATACCAGAATGCCAGTGCATATGATGCATATACCAATAAGTACGCAATACCTATGGAAATGTTGGCTGTGATAGCTTTCTTTACTCCAACATTTTTAGCTTCTTCTAAGTTTTTATTGTACCTGGAAAAAAAAACAGAAATCATTCTATGTAGTCATAAACATCGAGGAACGATGTCAATGCAACCAGGCAGCTGCTTGAATAATTGCGATGTACCAGCCTGCTTTCTTTCTCCCCATACTGCCCCTAAGACGTACTATGATTTTATTCCTTCACTGGAAAGCAAGCAGAGGCTTGAACCTTTCCTGGCCTTAGTAATAGTGAAATGATAAAAAAAAAATACCAAAAGCACGTATTATCATAGACACGAGGAAAACAGCTGGCCATGGTAGTTATACCTGTGATCCTAGCACTAAGGAGGCTGAAACAGGAGGAATACAAGTTCAAGACCAGCCTGTCCTACTTGGGGGAGGGGAGGGGAGCAGGAAGAGGCAGGGTAAGGATGTAGGAGGAGGGAGGAGAAGAAAGATGACAAGGGTAAGGGTGAAGAATGAGGAATTGAGCCGGGTGGTGGTGGCGCACGCCTTTAATCCTAGCACTCAGGAGGCAGAGGCAAGCGGATCTCTGTGAGTTCAAGGCCGGGCTGGACCGACAGCCTCCAAAACAATACAGAGAAACCCTGTCTCGTAAAACAAAAACAAACAAACAAAAAAAACAAAACAAAAAAACAACAACAACAACAAAAAAAAAAAAGAATGAGGAATTGAGAAAACCAGGAAGAAAGAAGGGAACGGAGAACAAAGAAGGAGAAAGGAGAGCAAGGAAGAGAAGCATGTAGTTAATAAACTAGAGATATAGTGCTAGAAAGTCTCAACACTAAAAAAGCTATTTAAAGCTCTGAACCTTAAGGACGCTTTAGAAACACACTCCCTTGGGCGTGCTAGAAGGACCAACTGGGAGAGCACCAGAGAACTTCAGAACCTGTGACAAGTTAAACCATGCTTTTGACATTTAAATAAGCTGGATTAAATCAGCCTAGAGCCAGCCACACACCAACAATCCCAGACCCCAGGCAACCCAGGCAAGAGGATTGCCTGAGAGCTCCAGGCCAGACAGGGACTCACAGCAAAGTGCTCCCTCTTAAACCCAATCATTTCTATAGATGTGAATTTTAAAGTCACTGACGGACAACTATTATTTTGACTTACGAATATATAATAGGTACAGGCCGAGGAACTAGACAGTGGGGACACAAACTGGCTTGGGGGTGAGGTAGTGAAGAACCCCAGCTCCAAATGAAGGATGCCACCTGGATCAGGCTCACATTTCATGGGAGAGCAGAGCTACGGAACTGCACTCTGCCAGCATGCCAGGAACGCACAAGCTAAATTAACTAAGCTACCAAGCCTTCTCCTCTTCCCTGCCTGAGCAAACTGATAGAAAGGGCGCCCCTAGAGTTGGCAGGAACCACAGCACCCCAATTAAAAACGCTGGGTCAACCACCCTCACCAAAGAGAGGTGAACCAGAAAAAAACAACTTCTGCTAACTAACTCCAGATGGGCAAGTCCCAACACAAAACCGAAACTTAGACAAAAGACCAAGACGGCACGTGTCCTCCAAAACTTACCATCTCAGGGGAAGAGATGGCACTTCCAGGGGCTTAGCTAAAATTCCAAGCAAAGAACTAAAGCATTTGACTATAAGAACTAAAGCATACGACTCTAAGAACTAAAACATACAACTATAAGAACTAAAGCATACAACTCTAAGAACTAAGGCAATACGACTATAAGAACGACTGTAAGCGCATTCACAGAATATAAGGAGGACATGAACACACTTGGGGAAGTCAATTCAAGATATGAAAACAGAATTCAATAACGACAGAAATATTTAAGAAAAATCAAACCAAAATGATGTTCAAAACCCAACACTCAGTAAGTCAAATGAAAAGGCGAGTGGAAAGTCTTACCAAGAGACTAGATAACGAGGGTGGAGGACAGCCTAGCAGCACTTGAATCATTCAGTCATACACACTGATAATTTTTTTAGAATATTTTTAAAAATTTTTTATAAAAACATATAAACAGAGCATGCAAGAACACCTAAGAGACAGGTCCAGAAAAAAAGTATTCCCATGTAATGGTATAGTTAAAACACTAAAACCCCAGAAAGGTGGGGTTTGGGGGTGGAGACAGAAAGCTGCAGAGAAAAGGTACAAATCACACACAAAGACAGGCCAATCACAGTAACAACTGACTTTTCAACAGAAACTTTTAAAACCAGGAGGGTTTGCAGTGGGGTAGTTTAAATTCTGAAAGAACACAGCTAATAACCAAGACTACTATACCCAGGGAAACTTCCTGTCACAATTGAAAGAGAAACAAAATTTTCCATGACAAAACAGTCTAAACATAAGACCTGCACATTTGAAACTGCTAGAAAAGAAAAAAGAAAAAAGTACGGCATGTACTCTAACATATCAGACTCTGGTCACTCAGGATATAAATTCAACAGTCAACAAACAGGGCTCCACGGAAGTAAACTGTATACAGAAGGAAACATGTTTGAAAGACACACACGAGAAAATAAAAACGTATTGAAAGTATTCTGACTGCAGAATTACATACATTCACAATTGTGATCAGTTCAATTTCTATTCCAATTATCCAGTTTCCTCCGGCACCTGATACTTTGAAGGGAAAGTAAGAGAGAGTGATGGCTTCAGAGGCAGAAGGTCTCTAATGATCTTCCCACCACATACTAAAGCTTCTGTCACGTTAGGAGATTTAGTTGGCATGTCTATCCCAGACCCCACATCCTCACCCTCATTATAAAAGGCTTATTTTCCTCTCTTAGGTCTCAGGCTAACTGAAATCTCCTCTAAGAAACTTTCTTGACCATATTTAAATGTGCCCTCCTCTCGCTCCTTAGTACTTTCTTTAGTCAAAGCCTATGTTTAAAGACTATGATTATCAGCCGGGCGTCGGTGGCGCACGCCTTGAATCCCAGCACTCAGGAGGCAGAGGCAGACGGATCTCTGTGAGTTCGCGGCCAGCCTGGTCTACAGAGCGAGTTCCAGGACAGCCTCCAAAACAATACAGAGAAACCCTGTCTCGAAAAACAAAACAAACAAACGAAAAAGGCTATGTTCGCTGAGTGTGTTGGGGGAGGGGGTGTTTTAGTTAGGTTTTCTGTGGCTGTGAAGAGACGCCATGACCACAGCAACTCTTACAAAGGAAAAACGCATGACAGAGCCGTTACAGCTTCAGCCGCTTAGCCCATCACCATCACTGCAGAATCATAGGGACATACAAGGGGACAGGGTGCTGCAGAAGGAGCTGAGAAGTCTGTGGGCAACAGGAAGTGGTCTGAGACACTGGGTGTGGCTTGAGATCCCCCCAAAGCCCACCTCCACAACGACACACTTCCTCCAATAAGGCCACACCCACTCCAACAAGGCCATACCTCCTGATAGTGCCACCCCCTTTGGGGGACATTTTCTTTCGAACCACCACAGGGTGTGTACGTGTTTATGAGCTAAGATGCTCCCGTAGACCACAAAGGCATCACGCCCCCTGAGGCTGGAGTGACAGGTGGCTGAGGCCCATAAGAACTCGGGTCCTCCATAAAAGCAATATGTCCGCTTAACAACGAAGACATCTCTTTAGCCCTATCAAAGCACATTACGTCTCTCTAAAAACAGTTCCGTAACTCTTAAAGCCTTTTATCTTCCAAACTAACAGGTTGTCTGTGTACCATGTACCCCCTTATCTGCAGTGTCTGTACCATCTCTTTCTTCTATAAGAATGAAACCACGGGCTTTCAAACATATTTTAAAAGCAAACAGAACATATGTGCTCCCTTCTCCTGAAGGCATGTATCAGGAACGCATAATTAGATTTGCAGCTTTTCAGAATGAAAACGATCACACAGAACTTTAAATTTCTAGCAAAAGAAGCCCAAACCTTTCAAGTTCTTTCTTTTGTCCTCCAAATGCAATCACAGTTCTGATGGCTGCTAAGACTTCTTCAGCAACCGCTCCAGCCTTTGCGTACGCCTGGAGTTCCTTATTGGTGAATGAAGTCAATGCCTGTCAACGTGGAATCTCATATCATTTACAAACGCCGATTAACTCTATCTTTTGCAGAGTTAAAAAAAAAGACATAAAAATGTTGCTTGTACAGAAATCATACAAAGAGCAAGATCTCTGCGGCAGGTATCACTGGGGAGATAAAGTGTACTGGCTTCCCTACCAGGGCTCTCTCGCTGACCCTGTGTCTGAGCAAGGAAGAGAGTCCTGGACACACAGGGACTTTTGGTCAGGTGCCTGAAGTGCCTGGGACCCTTCTGTTCCTCCTGCTTGTCTGGGCTAAGAAGACAGCCTCAAGCCCACAGCAAGAAACAGCTTCTGGAACCAGTGCACATACCTTTCAATAGAGCCTGACAATCTGAGCATCGAAGACATCTGCAGAGCAGGGCGGGAAAGCAAAGGACTGAAGTAATATGTAGCTCTTTTATTTTTATTCATCTGTATTTTATATTTTATGTATGAGTGCTCTGCGTGCCAGCAGAGGGCATCAGATCCTACTATACATGGTTGCTACTATATATGGATACTGGAAATTGAACTCAAACATCTGGATGAGCAGCCAGTGCTCTCAAGGGTGGAGCCATCTCTCCAGCCCTGTAATGCGTAATTCTTAAAGATTAGCTTGCCCTCTCTTTTCCTTATCTATCTACACTGTATTCTAAAACACTTTAAATAATTTTTATTAAATGATGATGTGAGACGTTTGAACTTAACTTGTTCAGTGTTCTACTAAACGGGAAAATCAAGTAAGAAAAGTAAGCTTTTAGGCTGGCAAGATGGCTCACTGGGTAAAGCCTGATGACCTTAGGTTACTGAGAGTGACAATAAGTCTTGCAAAGCTTTGGAGGGTGGTGTAGACATGGGAGGTCTGTATGCCTGACACTTCACAGTGAATATGGTGATATCCTTTACTGGGCATAGAGCTTTCCAGTCTAGCACATCTTTTCTATGAAGACAGAGAACATACAAGGTCCCCTCCCTCCCTTCCTATCCTTTCCCCAAATAACAGCTCAGTGGGTCTGAATCAGGATATCCTGCTGATTGTTAGACAGAAGTTTAAAGAAAGCACCAAACTCACAACCAGGACTGTTCTGGTTAAAGACCCTCCCATGGGTTCTGGGGAAGACTCTGACACGTAAATTCACTTACCTTGGCCCACATAGCAGACGAAAATCCAATAAGAGGGCTGACAGCCAAAATTACAAGGGTCAGCTTCCAACCACTTATAAATCCTACTATAAAACCAGCTAAAAATGTTGTTATGTACTGAAAAAACATTCCAATTTTGTCACCAATTCCATCATTAATTTTGGAGACATCACTAAGAAAGAAAGAGATTGTGTTACAAATAATGTCAGATTTACAAACACAGAAATTATCCAGTTCTATATTGTAACACTGAGTCTGATATAAATTAGTATGTCTATAATCTTTGTATACATTTCACTTGACAGGCTGTCTGTTTCCAGTATGAGGTTTGTCATTAACAGTATTTTGTGGCCTACAGAATAAAGACATGATTAAGACTATTCACTGTGAAATTTCAAGCTGCTCAGAGATGTGCACATATGGCATTGACCTCCATGAATACAAATCTTTGAGCTCATTCTGTGAAGGAGAGGCTGACAGACAGGAGTTCCCTTCCTGCCTCCCTTCCAGTGTTTTCCAGGGACACCAAGGAGGCCTGACAGGATGGCGCTCAGGGGGATGGACAGGCCACATCGCTGCTCCCCTGCACATGGATGCTGTGCTAACTCTGAAGGCTTCTTGACTCTGCCAGTCTAATCCCTCACTGAGTGCCAGTCAAGCAGGAGCTCCACCCTCATCCCTGCCAGGGCACTGTGAACCAGACGCTGTGTAAGACGCGGGCACTGCTCACAAGGGCTTTACTCTGCTCAGTGATGCGTCAACACTCCTAACATGGCGGTGGTATCTACTTCACAGCACTGAGAACAAGACCGTATCTGACTTCAGCATAAAACTGGGTACTCACTCTGTGAGCCGGGTGTTCAGCTCCCCAACGTCGTGCACGTCAAACCAGCCTATCTCCTGATTCATTATAGCATGGAAAAACTTCTGTCTGATTTTGTGTATCTGTCTTCCAGCTGCCAGGCACCAAAATGAAACCTGAATGTAGGCAACTATGAGCACACCAGCACTGATCCCCGTGTAATAGTAGGCATACCTGTAAAACAAGAACACTGTACATGCTGTGTTCCAATCAGCCCTTCTCTCTGAACACAACTGAGCCTCACTCTTCAGCTCTAGCTGGTACCTCACCATCCTTAGCAAACCAGAAGGGGCTGTGAGGACCAGAGCTGTCACTGTCAGCATCTACCTATGTCTTCGGCGATATAGGAAAGAATGGCTTTGAGGCAAATCCCAGCTCTTCACTGAACTACCTTGTAAACTCAGGCAGGATGCTTAACATCTTAGGCCCCAAGGTTCTAGCTGGTAAAACAGGGTGAGAATAGTTACACAATAGATCTCAAAGGTGCTTAGGCCAGTATCTTATATAAAACAAGCACCCAGAGAATGTTAGTTACTTGGTATACTGGCAGTCCACTGACATACGTCCTTAGAGTCCTAATCCTATTACATCAGCATCAATTAATGAGCCCCTCTAGGCTGTCTCTACTTGTCAAGGGACTTGTGGCAGAACTTGTTTGAAAGTTGAAACCAGGGATGGAAACATCCCCTCTTTGAACAACGGACAGACCTTGGCTGATTAAGTGACAGGTGAAAATTACTGGTATTTTTATCTGCCCAATTGGTAATTTTGAACTACTCTAAAATGTCCAAAGAGCAGCTCTTCTAGTTTAAACTGAAACAAGGAAAATCAAAAGCCCTCAAATTAAACTAAGAAAGAGGTGAAGTGACATTTTGTTCCCAGTTTTCACAGTCACAAAAGCAAACCCTGGGCTGTTGTAATCAGTTAACATTTAGATGAAAGGCAAACCTTCCAACATGAAATTTAGGGTACAGTTTTCCTTGTCTAAAAAAACAAAGTTCTATCTGTTAGCTTCTGAAAACTGCAGTGTCCTGGGAAGCAGCAAAATGGTTACTCATAAGGAAGAGAGTCTCTGATGTGATGTTTAGACTCTGCACTCAACCTAGCAGGACTCCTACTCACATACCATCCCCTGTTACATCTTATGACTTGCAAAAAGCTGCAGGGCAACTAGAACACTTCTCATTAGTTGATGAATCTATAATTAGTTATTTTTCATGTGCTAACAATATAACAAGAGGAACCCCATTTAACAAGTGTACTTTATGGCTAGGGAACAACCTGCAAGCTATTGTTTTATTCATTTGTTCATTTATAGGTTTTAGTTTCTTAAAAGCAGTCTTGCTACACAGCCCAGGCTGTCCTCAATCTAATGAGCCTCCTGTCAATACCTTCACAGTGCTAAGATGTGTCATCATTCCTGTCTTGGTAACGTATTTTAAGATGCTGCAGTTCACTGGGCATTGTTGCTTAAACCTATAATCCCAGCACTTGGAAACCTAAAGCAGAAAGGATGCCCCAAGCTTGAGAGCAGCCTGGGCTACATCAAGAGGTCAGATCCTGACTCAGAAAATGAAGAAAAAGAAGGACTTAAAATTTTTCCCAATATAAAAAATAATGCCTCTATACAATAGTATTCAGAGTATTCATGTCTCACTGTTTAAATATAACCAAGTGTCTCCCTTCTTTAAATATGTCAAGCCATTCATAGAATAATACAGAATCATATTATCTGAGTATTATCATGAGTATTTGCACATTTGTTCAAAGATACTCTTTAGAACTTCAAAACATGTAAACCATTAACAAAATATTTTCCAAGGGTAACCCAAGGTCAAAATTAAACATTTTTTTGTTTTTGCTTTTTTGAGACAGGGTTTCTCTGTATTGTTTTGGAGGCTGTCCTGGAACTCGCTCTGTGGACCAGGCTGGCCTCGAACTCACAGAGATCCGCCTGCCTCTGCCTCCCTAGTGCTGGATTAAAGGCGTGCGCCACCAACACCTGGCCTAAACATTTTTTTTAATTCTAGGATTTTTTGTTTTTGTTTTTGTTTGGGGGGGTGTTTATTTGTTTTTCAAGACAAGGTCTCCATGTATAACAGCTCTGGCTGTCCTGGGACTTGCTTTGTGGACCAGTCTGGCCTCCAACTCACAGAGATCCACCTGCCCCTGCCTCTGCCTCCTGAGTGCTGGGATTAAAGGTGTGTGTCACCACTGCCCAGTTATTGCAGGATGTTTTGTTTCATTATTTACAGCTAGATACTGAGTTTTAAATTTTCCTGCTAGCCAATACTATTATTATTATTACTAGGGATACTCTGCAAGAAGCACACTAATGTGACAGACTTTTATGATCCCCCATGGAAGGTCTCCCCCTCCCTGCAGAGCAGAAGAGGGATGGGGTGGAGGGTCAGTGGGGGGACATGGGAGGATGGGGGACACGGAACTGGAATTGATATGTAAAGTAAGATTGTTTCTAATTTAAATAAAAAGAAAAAAAGTAGCCCACTAATAATGACAAAGCTATAGACAATGATTTTTAGTTCAACTTAAAATCGTATTATGAGTGAAAGTTTTTATAGATCGTTATAATTAATGCAGAAGAGATTAATGAGGGAATAAAGAAGTGTCGAATTACGTGGCCATGTCTTCCTCCAGAATGCTGCTGATGATCTCTGTACCGTTGATTTCACCTAGACAACCAGAAAACAGAACGGGCCCATTGATGCCTCTTGGCACTCCAAAAAAATAAGCATATTAAAAGTAAACAAACTCCTTTCACTTGAAAATCTATAAAAAACAGGACCAACTGATTCAGTTAAATTTAATTTAGTTTCAATCCAAGCTTTAATGACATCCATTCAAACACTTCCCCACTGGCCACGCACTAATACACAAAGCCCACATTTAATGATGCTCATTTTCAAGAAAAAGTCCATAGTGACAAATAAACACCAATGTGACTGGACACTTGTGACATATTTAAACAGTAACACTGCATTTCTCTACTTTTATTGCTATTTCAAAATTATCATGAAGAACAGAGCATTATCCAATATTAGGAAAAGCTAACTATCTGAACCAAATACATTAGAAACCCCAAAACTTTAACCATTCACATAGACACAAATAACTACTGTTCAACATTTTTGTGTATGTGTTGTCAAATTTTATTGTATGTATGCATGTATTCACATACAAAACTTTAAAAAAACAACAAATATGAATCAGTATCAGTTTTTCTTGCCAGTGTACGCTTGTATCCGTTTTAAATTTGCTTTCATTTTGGTTGTTTTCAACATCATACTGTTATTGGGAACATCACTCAGTGAGTGTCTAGTCTAGCAAACGTTATGCCCTGGGTTTGATCCAGTATCACATAAACAGACAAGTAATACTGCATAAGCATATGTGTACATATATGTGAATATGTGGTAAATATTGCATAAGAAATATTATCATAATCAAGACTGCTAGGTCAACAAAAAGCACACTTCAAATCTTACAGTCATTGCAAAATGTTAGATTATAATATGTGCGGAACTCACGCAGAAGAGAAGGAGGAAAAGGGATGACAGGCAATGTAAGCAACATGGACATGTGTGAAGACTGAGGGAGATTCTGATTCCCTGACCTCTCTCCAGATCCCATGCAGAATGTAACCCACCTTCAAATCATGCACTGCCCAGTCTCTAGTCCTATCTTATGCCAACTCACTGTCATTTCTTTAATTTCCTAGATGCTATTAGATTTCTGTGTGTCCTGACAATTCAGTACACACATTGAAAACACAACAGCCTTTATCTAGATCTACCTGCAGGTAGCACTTGGTTCAAATGGAGATGTGAAATCAGAAATCAGAGACAACAGAAACGTCCTGGGGGATAAGCTTTACACACACACACACACACACACACACACACACACACACACACACACACACTCAAACACTTTTCTAGCCAGGCGTTGGTGGCATACGCCTTTAATCCCAGCACTCGGGAGGCAGAGGCAGGCGGATCTCTGTGAGTTCAAGGCCGGGCTGGACCGACAGCCTCCAAAACAATACAAAGAAACCCTGTCTCCTAAAACCAAAAAAAACTTTTCTAAATATATAACTATAACCTTCCAATCTCTGCATGACCAACAGTGACCTGAAAATTGGAGCTCAGGGCTAGCAGCCTGTGCCCCCAAGTCAAGGATGCTTGTGTTAGAGGCAAAGCATTTCACTAGCTCACTCATTTCTTCACTCCCCCAGGGTGCTGTTTTATATCTTTCCTCATTAAACCTGTCTCCTGCTTCCCATCTTCCTGAGAAAAGTCACCTCTAACAGTCCTCTATTTATACAACGTTAGACTCTGTGAGTCTCCAGCCTCCTGCAGAGAGCTGTGAAACTGCATCATCTGACATCGTCATAAGGAGGATGAGGGGGCGATAACAAGATACTAGAGAGAAAACACGAACAAACACGGAAATAACTTTTAACACACTACATTGCGGTATTTTTTGTTTTATTAGTTATTGTCATTAACCTCTTACCATGCCTAACTTATAAATTAAACTTTATCATTGGCATGCATTTCTAAGAAATGCATTGTAAATATATGCAGGGTTCAGTCTCTATGGTACCAGGCATCCACAGTACACTGTTGAAATGTGTCTCTAGCAGACAGGAGGATCTGCCAACCAGCAGACACCATGCATAGATTCCCAGCTCCTCATCCAGCCGCCCACCTTTGGATTCCAACACTAATCCACTGTTTCTGCCTGTTACTGAGGCTGAGCTGCCTCGGCTCTGCCCTGAGTAAGCCTTTCCTCCTGCTCACGGGCTTGTCCTTCAGAGAGGACCTCTCTAAATCTCCTCACTCTGTCTTTCGAATATCACTTCCACTTTCTTATTTTGTCAAGAGCAAAAGCATTACTTTTCCTGTCCTACAAGGAACACCCTCACACTCTCTCTTCCTCATCCTGGCCCCTCTCCCTCCCTCATAAACAACTGTCTCAGACCTCCTTTCATTTCTCCATCCTGGATCTGCTTTCCAAAAGGCCAAGCCACAACAACACACAAAACTGCCCAGGCATCTCTCTCTCCCCCTCTCTCATCTCATTTAAGAGATGTCCTTCCAGGTTCTTGGGGTAAAAGTGTTAGCACCATCCTAAACTCCCCGTTTACACTCATAGCCAGGGACTCCTGTAACTATGGCAGCTCACCATTCACGGTTCTGATTAGGTTCCCGTAACTTCCTCCTCAAGATTTCAAAGCTATTTCTGAAGTCATAGAGCAGAGCGCCTTCCCTTCCTAAATATCCCCGAGAACACTTCTCCTGGGTCTCCTAGTACCTATAAACATTATCTTCTCAAACCCATTACAAACATGGGCTGGAGCTCTCAATCTCCACCTGTCACAGTACAAAACACAGCATCACATATTCAGTAAAGGTCCTGCAAATGGTATGATAAGTGAATGTTATTTGCAAAACCCAATATATTTGGTACCACAAATAATTCTTACTTTGATTAGTAACACCTGGTGGAATGTCGGTGTCTGCTTTTGTAAAACTATCTGTCATGTGTCCAAACACCAGCATCAAGAGAGGAAGTGAAGTCCCATGGATGATAGCAGCCAGAGTTCCCAGGGCCATGTACAGCTTGTCGAGCCAGTCTGCATAGCGAAACTAGAAGGAAGGAATACGGGCATGAGCGAGCGCGTGAAACCATGGATGGCGCTTCAAAGGAGACTCCAAATGCAAACACATTTTAGACTGTCACTGCTGCCGTCTCACACGAAGTATGCATCCTCTCACTGTGCTGAGCTCTGGAATTATCTCACCACGGGCTGTGCCAATTCTTTTCTCATTTATTTTTTCTTTTTATTTACATGTGTGTGCGTGCGCGCGCATGTGTATGGGCACATGATTGTGATGCTGTCAAAGGACAGAGGAAAGCATAAGATCCCAAAGAGCTGGAGATACGGGTGGAAGAGAATTGCCTGACGTGGGTGCTGGGAACTAAAGTCCAGTCCTCGGTAAAAGCGGCAAGGGCATTTAACAGCTGAGCCATTTCTTCAGCCCCACATACTAATTCTTCATACTGAACTCAGCGTGTCTTCTCTTTTGCATTACCCTAAGAGAATTTTTAAAGTTTCTAAAATGGTAATGACAGGAAACAATAAAAATATTTTGAAGCGATAGAAATCACTTCTTGTATAAGCGCCACCACGATAACCGAATTGCGCCACTGGAGCACTGGACTAGGAGGACCCTAAGAGAGACACACATGGTCCCCAAGAGAAGGGGAAAGGGACAAGATCTCCTGAGCAAACTGGGAGCATGGGGGAGGGGAGAGGGAGCTAGGAGAAAGAGAAGAGGAGAAGAGGAGAAGAGGAGGGGAGAGGAGGACATGAGGGAGCAGGAAGATTGAGTCAGGGGAAGAACAGAGGAGAGCAAGAAAAGAGATTCCATAATAGAGGGAGCCATTATAGGTGTACAGAGAAATCTGGCTCTAGGGAAATGCTCAGAGATCTACAAGGATGACCCCAGCTAAGAATCTAAGCAATAATGGAGACGCTACCTTAAATGCCCTTCTCTGATAATGAGATTGATGTCTACTTTATATGCCATCCTAAAGCGTTCATCCAGTAGCTGACGGAAGCAGAGGCAGACACCCACAGCTAAACACTGAACTGAACTCCTGGAATCCAATGGTAGAGAGGGAGGAGTGATGAGCAAAGGGTTCAAGACCAGGCTGGTGAAACCCACAGAAACAGCTGACCTGAGCAAGGGGAAGCTTATGGACCCCAGACTGATGGCTGGGAAACCAACATAGGACCGACCTAGAAACCCTGAATGTGGGTGTCACCTTTACCAACATGTATTATAGGATATTTGTTCACAGTGACATCCAGAGACTGCCAATAAAGTTTAACTTTGAATCAGGCGGTAGAGTTAGGAACTAGCTGACCAGAATTAACCATAGAGGACCCAGGATATATAGAGAGAGACACAAGAAATAGTAAGAAGGGATTCTGAAAGATTCAAAGGCCCTTTTTGGATTGAGGAAGGGGGGGAGGTCACTGGTGGCTTCTCCACCACTTCTCTGATCAATTAGGTTTTTACCCCAATATTTGACTCTCAAGTTTAATTAATAATAAAAACTGTATATAAACTCTTCAAACGTGGGTACAAAGGACTTTGAGATTAACCTGCCAGGAGTAAGGGCCTTGAAGAATGGCATGTTATCAAGTGTGGTGATATAACGGTGATCCCAGCACCCAGGAGTTGAGGGCCTTGAAGAATGCAATGTTATCAAGCATGGTGGTAGACCATGGCAATCCCAGCACCCAGGAGTTCAGAGCCTGGAAGGATGGCACGTTATCAAGCGTACCGGAATGTATACCACAGCAATCCCAGCACCCAAGGGTCAGGAGGTAGAGGGGTCAGGAGTTTGAGGCCATTCTTCCTACACACACAGCCAAGACCCTGCTGTAAACAGTACCAAACGGACATCACGGGATACAGCAGCTTCCCGTTGCCTCACTGGCACTGACCTTCAAGATAAACAAAAGATCACCAGTAACATATAACTAATTTGGAAAAAACTGAAATCTACGCCAGGAAGAGGAAGCTGCTGAGCTTCAGTACATGGCAAATTGTGGTTGGCATTCTTTTGAAAATAAGCTAAATCCAATCGATTAACTTTACCTCCAAACTTCTGTATGCCCTAAGAAAGCCTTAGTATAGCATGTGGAATACCTCTTTTTTGAGGTTAAGAATTTTAAATAACAAATAAATCCCAAACTCACCATCCCAAATATGCCAACAGCTGGTTTCTTTTCTTTCTTCTCCTTTTTACTGAAGAATACAACAAAGGGATTATATAAAGCTTCGAAAATGCTATGAAAACTTTAAAGAACCAGCCTGTTATAAACTCCTGACAACCAGGACAGACATATCTACACAGTACTCATCCAAACAGTCTGATGTCGTGTATGAAGTATAAATACAAATGCTTGTGTATTTTAGACATTTAAAAATATGATTATCACTGGGTATTGTATTTCTAACTTTAACACTTTACGCTTGTGTGTATGTGTGTTCTCGTGACTGGGGGAGGGGCACAAGCACGCTGTGGTGCATGTGTGGAGGTCAGTGGAAAGCCTGAGTGTCACTCCTTGCCATCTACCCTGCTAGAGACAAGGTCTCCTGTTATCACCACTGGATTTGCCAGGCCAGCTTGCCCACAGGCTCCCAGTTTGTACTTCCCAGTTCTCCAAACTGGCACTACAAACATATGTTACCACATCTGGCTTTATTTGGCTTCCGGAGACAAAAACTCAAGTCCTCAAGCTAATGCAGCAAGCACTTTTCCCACAGAGTCACAGTCCGTCCCAGGTATTGGGATTTGTGCAAGAATATTTTCTTGTGTGCTAGATACTCCCTGATTTTTATGATGAATACATATATCCACACATTCGTTTGCAAGTAAAATACCACACATTTTAAAAAGAGTTTTTCTATTCTTTTTCCTTTTTTTGGTTAATGTTAGTTTAATTAGACTATTATGGCTGGAAATGGCAAAACATATTTATAATTCCAGTACTAGGATGGCTAAGGCAGGAAGATTACAAATAGCAGGAAAACCTAGGCTACATACTGATAATCTACTTGAAAAAAAAAGAAAGAAACTCATGTTCTAGAATTAATCTTCCCAGTTACCTTCTTGGTAAGTCTAGGTATAGTTTAGTTACTGCCTAGATATTCATTTGCTTATTTATTTATCTATTTATTTGAGCTCTGGATAGTATCTACAATCATTCTCCTTAATACAGAAAAAGCAGTGATCAAATGTTGGACATGAGTATCCTAACTTGAAAAGTAATTAAATTATTCTATGAGCAAATCTATTTCTGCAAGGGCATCTGAGGTCCTAAGTGGACACAAATAAAACTTAATAAGCCATGCTTTAAAAAACAAACAATGAATTGTCAAAAAGCCATCCTTACATGTAAAAACGTCAACTATCATTCAAAGTTGCGAATCAAATAACTACCTCCTAACCCACATTTGTCACCACCTGTGACTGCCAACAGGGATGGCCGAGCTATACCAAACCACTCCCGGGATAGACCATTTTAGAGAAGCACATTATTCTGATACAGACCTTTTTAAAAGTTTATGGTTTGTTTTTTCACATACCAAATGAAGCAGAAGATAGTTTTAAAGGGGAAAACACAATTCAGCTTTTAGTGATACAACATGGACGCACACACAAGCTCAGGATGGATCCTACGCTGGCGTTTCCACAGCACAGCTTCAGTAGCCCTGGGGCCAGGATGCCAGAGAAGTGACAGCCTTGGTGCCCTGCAGCTCTGTGCATTTCCAGTGCCTTTTCAGCCTGACACTGACTACTCAGGAGAAGCGACATTCCGGGCATGAGCTGGGATAATTCATTAAGAACTCCGAAGAAGGCATACTGTTGGCCTTTGACGGATAAAAAACATGCAGGAGAGTTACTTTAACTTGTTCCAGGTCCTGTTGCTAGATCAAAAACTAAGATTTAGACTGCAATCTGCCTCGGGACCACCAAGTTGTGAGGCGGGAGATGCAGACCTGAGACTTCAGCAAGGATGGGGTTAAGTGCTACAACACTAGCCTAGCCCTGGGCTAGAGACAGAGTTCAGTAGTGAACACTTGTGTAGCATCCCAAGGCACTAGGTTCAATCCCTAGTACTGAAGGGGAAGGGTACTACCTGTAATGTATATCTATGAAATTTCTACAACAACATGATTGACTATCATTTTGTCCTTCTGAACATTGTGTTCTGAGCTGATGGGTGTTCTGAGTAATCTATTAGGGGGGCGAACTGGTGACAATGTGTATTCTCTCTCACTAGAACTAGAGCTTAAAAATCATGTAGGGGCTCATCCAGGCAACATCCTAGAATAGATTCTCAGAACTATAAAAATAAATAACGATATCACCAATGCTGATGAGGGGTTTAATAAGAGCCACTACACACACACACACACACACACACACACACACACACACACACACACGGAATTTCTTTACTTAGAAGTCACGTCACCAATAACAGAACCAATAACAAAATGAAGATATGTGTAAAATCAAACCATTTCCTTTCTTTACCTTTCTCTTTGAACACCATACAATACTCTGTATGCAATACTCTTGAGTGGTGGTGTGCTCCTGTAATTCCAGCCCTTAGGGACAGAGAAGGTGGGGGTGATCTACATGTCCAGGACAGCCTGGGATACACAGTGAGTCTGTGGACAGCCTCCACCTTACTACACAACAAGATCCTTCCTCAAGGACAAAACAAGTCCAGTGTGCACACAGGTGCATGTACGTGTGTGTGTGTGTGTGTGTGTGTGTGTGTGTGTGTGTGTACATAGTTCGTTAAGCTGCTATGCTACGCAATTACCTTCTCAAACATACCATGTGTTAGACATATGTGTTTCAAGCTGAGCATATGGGACATGAATGTTGAATGTAAAAACATGGGTTTAATGTGAAAGAGACTATCATCTTATTCACAATTTTTTTCATTACGGATATAAAAAGTATTATGTCTGGGACACCTAATACTTTCCCAAACTTGAATTCTTCACTTTTGAATGTCAGTTGGAGGAGGATTTAAAGCTACAAATGCATCTCACGATATATTTCTCCTAGACAGGACAAGCCTAGAAGCCTTGCTGGAAGAGATGGAACACTTTTGCAAGCACAGTCTCTTCAAATCCCACCACGTGCTGCATAGCTTCAGAGTCTATACCGCCACCAGCATGCTGCATCAGATCAGTCGGTGACGCTAAGAGTGAACTCTCTGGGGAGGGTCATTTTCCCCGCTGAATGGCTCTGACCCTTGGACGGTCCTCACCTGACAGATAGTGTGTGTGTGTGTGTCCCAGGCAGATGCATTTTCCTGCAAAGACCTCTCCTGGAATCTCTACCTCCCACCCGTCCCCTCCTTTCAGAATGTCACTGAGTCATTAACTGCATTGGACCTGGTAGCTCTAAGCCACTTAGAGCAATCATTTTCTTGGAAGTTCAAGCTGCCCCAACACTGGCCAGTAGAAATTGTCCGAGCTTACTCCCATGCTGGGTTTTTGGTTTTGCTTTGCTTTTTACAGTTGATTTATTATTTATTGGGTACGGATACATGCACAATGGAGGGAGTCTCTCGTGCCACTGCAAGTCAGGGTCAACTTGCAGCTTGCAGTTGGTTTGCACTGCCGCTACGTGGGTTTGGGAAACAGAGTCGAACTCAGGCGCATCAGGCTTTGATAGACCTGTCTCGCTGGTCCTGCTGTATATGGTGACCAGTCCATTAAATTGTATTTTCTCTGTCCCAGATCTGGCTGGAATTAGCTGTTTTATATATAGCATCCCTTTCTTTAACAGAAAGCACCAAGAGTGTTTATTTCCAATGTCCTTTTCGGGGGACTGAAAGTGAACAACTAAAAAAAAATTGTAACTTCATATTGAAGGTCCTTACTCTATTTTCACATTTTCAAACATAAAATTTATTTTCACTTTCGTACTTTCCCTCCTTATCCTGTAACCTTGGTTCCTAATAATATTAATATATTTACTAATTCCTATTACCTTAGTTTACAATTTCCTATACACGATGAGCCTAATGAGTTATGTTCTGAATCTCCTGTCACAGGCAGCCCACTGTAATAAAAATGTACTAAAAATTATTATTTTCTCTTAGCAATTACATTTTCATTTTTTCTAATTGGATGGAGCACAGATAAGCAACCTAAAACGATCTAAATGCAGTTTCACTCTCTTCACCTGTACTGCCAGTCTGTGTTTGTGTGGCTGTCTATCAGACTGCAGCAGAGAGCCCACGGGGCATATGGCTCAGGTGCATGGACAATGAATCAACAGTGATCCTAAAGCCAGGGTTGTAAAACTAAAAGGATGTGAGCAATGGCGTCTGGAGGCTGAACAGGAGCCTCGATCTGGCACACACATCTGGAGGGCTGCTCCAAGCATGGGAGTTCCTTCCAGTGGCTGGTTTATGTTTCTGAAGGCTGAAATAACCACCACCCATCATTTAGTGCAGTGCTGGAGACTACAAACTACAAAACTGTCAACTGTGAAAGTGAAACAATCCGGCTACCTCTTTCTGCCCATCTTGGAGAATTTCTTGTCTGCTCTTCCGTTAAGGTCCTCTTCAAGCTCCATCACGACCTGGGGAGAAAGCACAGTTCATCAGCCAAATAATACACAGCCACAGGGCCCAGAGTCCAGGCTGAGCTCACTGCCCCGCAGAGCGCAGCGGTGAGCAGTCCCGCCCTGATGCTCCCAGGGCTGGGCCTGGAGGTAACTCACCCCGGGGATCCCGGGAGCTCCCGGGTCACCCACGTGGACCAGGTGTTGGGCTCTGGATCCTGCCGCCCCGCCCTGCCGGGTCCCCTCCGCCCCTGTGCGCTCCTCCGCCGGGCAGCGGCTCGGGGCTGGGCAGCGGGATCCACCGCGCGGGCTGGAGCCCAAAACACCGGCTCGGGGGCTCCCGGAGCGACTTGGGGCTCAGGCATCCGGAGCAGCGGACCCCACCTGGGAAAAGCCCACTCCACGTGTCTCTACCTCCGCTTTCCTTCGCAAAGTCCGCCAAGACGTGGAATCTGCAAGAAGCGATTCCCGAGTTTAACAGAGCCCGGGAAGATGCGGGCAGCGGCCTCAGGGTCACGGAGCTTCAACAGCTGCTGCAGGAAGGAGCCCAAGGACGGCCTTGGGCGCAGGAACTAAAGTGGTCGCCAGCCACCACCCCGGCGACCCCACGGCCAATCAGCCTGGTGGGCGGGATTGGGCGAGCCCGCTAGGAGAGGTTGCGAAACCCAACCGGAGGCGCTTCCCAGCTTCCCTGAGCTTTGGAGAAGTGGCTGGGATCCCCAGTGAGACACTTACTATAGACAGGTTCAGGTAAATCTCCATAGAGAAGTGTGTGTGCCCGGATAGTTCGAGCACTGGTGAGCCATACTTAAAAGGATACTTCCCTGAGCCAGGTGACCTACTGGAGGTAGTAAAGCAAGCAGGGACCTTGCTTGCTCCATAAAGCCCCCTTCTGACAGCACTGCCTTCTTTTTGTGGTTTGTTTGTTTTGTTTTGTGTTTTGTTTTTTGTTTCGAGACAGGGTTTCTCTGTGGCTTTGGAGGCTGTCCTGGAACTAGCTCTTGTAGACCAAGCTGGTCTCGAACTCCTTTTTATGTTTTTAAGACTGGTAGAAATTTTTCTGCGAAAGCCTCTCTTCAGTGCCTGCCATTTTTCCTAAAGCGTATCCATTCCTTTTTTTTTTTTTTTTTGGCTCGGATGCTCGTCCTATACAATGGGGCATTTCAGGGGAGAAATGATATTGTAAAGTACATAGTATTTTCAACTTGAAACTCTGGAGTCAGCATCCTCGTTTTGTTGTTGTTGTTGTTGTTGTTGTTTTTGTTTCCTAGAGCTTAGGAAGTTCTTACATTTTCTGGAATTCTGATTGATTTGGGGTTGGCGTGTGACAGGACTTTTCTCCATCTCGTTGTGCCTGATGTGCTGGCAACTCAGTGATGTAGAAAGTCAGGAAAGGAAGAGCGCCCCGTGTGATTGATACCAGTGAGGCACTGACCCCCAGGGAAGAAGGGCTTGAGACCCAGTCTCTTATACTAAGCCCTCTGTTCTCACACAGGCCAAGAATTAGCCGCTGCTGTTTTGAGCTAACTCATTGTAGGACGGCCAGGGTCACCTTCCTAAACAAGATGGAGGTTATATTATAATTAGCTGCGCTGGACTGGACAATTGGCTCAGAGGTTAAGAGCACTGACTGCTCTTCCAGAGGTCCTGAGTTCAATTCCCAGCAACCACATGTTGGCTCACAGCCATCTATATAATGAGACCTGGTGCCCTCTTCTGACATGCAGGCCAAAACAGTGTGTACATAGTTACACTCTGAGCTGCACTGGAGGTGAGCATACATGAAAGGGACAGGGTGGGGGGAGCAATTAATTGGCCATCCCCACTGGTGCAGACCCATCTTCTGTCTGTTTAGTGTTATCTCGTCCCACTTCGAGCCTCTGGCTTATCTGGGGGCCTTGCCACTTTCACTGTTACCTTCCTTTCAACCCCAGCATTCTCACCTCGGCTGGCAGTTTTCCTTAACTTCCCAGAGGGAGCCAGCTTCTTTGCGGAATTAGTAACCATGACGCCTGAGGCTATTTTTACTGTATGTCTCCAATGACAGGGGCCGGGTCAGGGCTTCACTCCATTCTCCCCAGTTCCCTTTCAATTTGGAAAAATCTAACATCTGTAGCTTCGACAAAGGAAATAATCACGGGTACAGCCATTAAGCAGCAAGGTTGGATTTATTAAAAACAGCCCCAAAGATGCTTCAAGAAAGAGCAGACACGGGGCGTTGGTGGCGCACGTCTTTAATTCCAGCACTTGGGAGGCAGAGGCAGGAGGATCTCTGTGAGTTCCAGGACGACAGCCAGGTCTACACACAGAAACCCTGTTTCAAAAAAAACAAAAGCAAAGCAAGAGACAGAGACGGAAGTAAATATGCTCTCAACCCTGAGATGAGCTTCTCAAAGGAGCAATGGACTTAGATCTCTTCACGATGGGTATATATTTGTAGGATAGTGGAGGCACATGGTAAGGAATTTCCTTTTTTATAAATTTTTATTTAAATGAAAAACAATCTTATTTTACATACTAATTCCAATTCCCTCTCCCTTCCATCCTCCCTCAGCAAGAAGAGGTAGACCTAACCTAGGCATAAAAGGCCAGTTTCTCCTTTCTGTCCCTATAATTTCTTATCTTTCTGTCCTGCCTCACCTTAGAGATAAGTTTTGTAGTACTTCTGTTGAGCACTGACTGTGCCCTGCTCTAAGTTATATTATGTACAAAAAAAAGTGGTTTTTCAAGCAGCTTTTGGTTCATTTTTCAGGCTGGGAGGTGACTCTGTACCTTGGTGGACACACAGCACTACTTGTTGGGGTGAACCCCGAGATTCAGACTGATAAATAACTTAGTCCTCAAAGTAGAAACTTATCAAAGTAGAGGGCGCTTTCGGAACATATGAGCGCGTTAAAGCCTTGCAGAGAAATCCGGGTCCAACATGTAGGTGGAGTTTCTCTGTCTCGGCAGCCACTCCCAACTAACCATTCAGAAACTAATCATTAATTGTAAACTCTTGGCCAATCGCCACTCATTCATTCACTTGGTCCCAGACCTGCCCTAAACCTCTCCAACTGCCTCTGCTGGTTGCTTCTGCAGTTTTCCTCTGACTCTGCAGCCTGGCTCTGCTGCATTCACAACATCTCCAGCAAGCCTCCAGCTGGCTGCCGTGCTTTCTCAAAGACTCTCACATACGGGAATTCTGCTTCTCCAGCCCCTTGGAAAATCTTTGCACTCAGCGGTGGCTTCTTCATTGACTTGTGTAGTCCCCGTGCCTCCTGTAACCTACATATGTGCATATCTATGTCCACGTAGACATAGGTAGATATATTTGCCCTGTCAAGTGTGGTTCTGTGCGTTAATATGAGAAATTAAGATTGGAATACAATAATCTGTCTTTTGTTCAGTCCACTATCAAGGAGGGTGGAACTACTTGGCAACCGGTTGTCAGTGAAACTGCTGTTCCTCAGAACTTTATTGTTATTCAAATTTTTACATTGTGGATAGAGGCAGACTTGTTCCTCTCTCATTCTGACATAGCATGCTCACAACTTATTCCTAGTATTTAGTACTTTTGCTGTCCTCTATTTTCAAGCTGAAATGAATTCAGTCTTCTCTATTCAGATTCACAGAGCAGTGTTGATTCTCCTCAGATTTTCAATTTTAAAAGTACAGGTTGGGCACTATGTATTCCAAATCCCCTGACTGACTCTTGCTGCCTCTTCCCTTGCTGCCTTTTCAGTAGGTCCAGCCCATGGCTCTCCCAGCTGAGGACAGCTGTGAGGACAGCCCAATACGAAACAGTAAACTTATAAGATTTTGTGTGATTTTTTTTGTATAGTTCTTCAGCATGAATGGAGTAGATCACAATGCTGTGTCCTGATATCTTCTGGACATGTTCAGAAGAAGAAAACTTCATTGTTTCTTGGTAGGTAACACTATTTCTTCTTTCTGTACTTAACACATATCAACACCATGGCTTTCTTCCATCCTTTACTCTAAACTGTTCATGCCTTTTTATCTATTTATGTTTCTTGGTTATATAATCAAGGTATCATTTCTTTGCAGGTTATCAATTAAACTTTCTGTTAGGTCACTAATCTCAGTTTTCTAATCAGCTGTGCTTGTGTAGTGGGATTGTTCATGGCTTACAGCCTTAACCCTAACTTTATGGTCTAGCTGGGACAAGTGCATAAGCCTTCATCTTCATCACAAGCATTTTCCATCTTACTCATGCCTCTGCATTCACTTACCACACCTTTAGTATTTTCAGTCTTACTTACACGTATGCTGTTTTGTCCTTGTGAGTAGTCCTGAATGCTCCTGAAAATGATAGAGCTGCACAGGATAGTTTTATGCCATTTTGTCATAGGCTGGGGTCATCAGATAGGAGGGAACCTCAATTAAAAATGCTTCCAAGCTGAGCATGGTGGCACACACCTTTAACCCCAGCACTCAGGAGGCAGATCTCTGAGTTAGAGGCCAGCTTGCAGCTTGGTTTACAGAAGGAGCTCCAGGACAGCCAGGACCATGCATGGAACCCTATCAAAAGAGACAGAGGGGGGGGGGAGGGAGGGAGGGAGGGAGGGAGGGAGGGAGGGAGGGAGGGATGGAGGGAGGGAGAGGGAGAAGAATTGCTTCCCTAACACAGGGTTCTTGTCAAGCCTGTAGGGCATTTGTTTAATTAGTGACTGATGTGGGAGGGCCCAGCCAGTTGTATATGGTGTCATCTGTGGCTGTAGTCTGAGTTTTATAAGAAAGCAGGCCGAGCAAGCCAGTATTTCTCCATGGTTTTTGCATCAGCTTCTGCCTCCTGGTCCCTGCCCTATTTGAGTTCCTGCCCTGATTTGTTCCCGTGAGGACCAGTAATGTGCAAGTGTAAACTAAATAAACGCTTTCCTCCCCAAATTCCTTTTGGTCATCTTGTTTCATCACAACAATAGTAGCCCTACCTAACTAAGATATCTACTATTTAATAGATTTATATATATATATATGCATGTATTAGAATACATCATATAATACTACATACAATATGTATTACATATAATATCACATGTATATATATATAATGTTTCTTTGATACACTGACATTAAAACTCAGATACACGGTGTGATGGACTTAAAATAATGGAAGGCCTAGCTCCTGCTATTTCCACACTACAGTCTTTGACTCTTAGACACTTGTCCTGCATGGATGCCCATTTCTTGAGCAGCGGCTTCTCTTTGACCTTCAGTAATTTTCGGTGGAATCCCTCTGTCCCTGTTCTAGGCTGTCAGTCATGCACTTTCATTCAGATGGCTGTCTCTGCTCTGTGAAGCATGCACAGTGTGTACCCCCGTGCCGTTCACCCTTCTTCTGAAGTTGGTGTGCCAGCTTGCCAGTGGTCTTCCAACACGAAAGAGCATGTCTCTGCTATGCTCCCTCCTCTTCAGACTTATGGAAGTAATAATTAACATCCATCGGATGCTAGCCCTATGTGAGAAACTGTCCCAAGCACTTTGAAGGTATCATTGTCTTCTTGTTCTTCAAACAGTCAAGCAGGCCCCCATCCCGGGCC